AACAAATTTTTTTAATCATAACTATTAAACAAATTAAAGAAATCGAAATTAAAGTTATTGTATATCTTATTAGATAAGGACTTTGTGTTATTTTAAATCATTTCCGTATAATCACAATCAAAAGCAGGATAGGGTGCAAAAAAGAGCTGTTGGGTTTGTCCACTACAACCGTCAGGTGTCCACACACACAATCCATTAGCCTAGAAAAGAAAGAAAAAAAGTTTAAACATCTACCTGCGATAAATAGATAATCCAACGGCTAAAGGCAGTTAAGAGTCACTTTTTTGTGTGTGTTCTTAAACTTTTATTAATGTACTTTAATTAATCATTTTGGTGTACCATAGGGTTATGTGTATCTTAATTAATTAAATGGATCTATTAAAAATTTATATATGTAGAAATTAAAACATATTAAAGAAATGGTGTTTTGAGAAGATGTGGTTGGCCACTATGATCAATTGGTACATGTGGATGCATCGCCTTGGTATGGCAACTTAATTAATTATTAGTCTTTTAGGACTCATGGTCTGTCGGAACTAATGGTGTTAAGTGGAGAAAACTAACCTGTCAGCCAATTGCCACCGTATCAATATTATATGATTCATCATTCAAACATGACACACATCACATATATTTAATTTTGATTGACAAAGAATGATACATGGTATTTGTCACCATCTATATGCATAGTATTCACGTTTTCTTCAAAAACATGTTTGTACACTTTAAGATTCAGAATTTTTTTTGGGACTCAACGTTTTTTTTATACACTAAAGAGGTATTCAGATTCTCTAAACTTTTGTGGACATGATATACCTCTTTAGAAGATTAACCCATTCAACCCGTGTAGATATTATTCGTTTTACACACTTTCTTCTCAGTTGTCGTAATTTTTCTCATAACATGTCTGCACAGTTCAGAACAACGCAAAACAATATCATTGGATGTTATCAGGGACGGATCTAAAGGGGGTCCCCCAAACCAAGTCCGAGCCGGACTGTTATTGTGTGTGTATATGACTATAAGTGTGTGCATATATGCCAAAACTATGAGAAAAAATTGGTGTTTTCTGTGTGGTTGTTCTTTCATTCAGTGCTTATTTAAGTCTTGTTGGCCTTAAAATTCAATGCAAAACCGTGTTGTTTTAGGTGGGAACATGCAAGCTTCTAGTAGAGTGACGACTATTAAGTCTGTGTAATTGTATAATTAACATGCTTAAATGCAATGTTTTTTCGTGGAAACTACTTTAAACACGATCAATTATAGAGAGTTTAGCTAGCTGGACAAAACTCCAATTTAATTATAATGGAAAACCTAGTTTCTACGATATAGACAAAAAAGACTTTGAATATAATATTTTGCTTGGATTAATTATTTAACATTTACTGAAACAGAAGTCACGAGAAAATGTTGATTAATTGTGCATGTCGATTAGTAAACGAGTAGTTTTTGTAGGAAACAAGCTTGGAAGTTTCCCATTACTTAGGTTAGAATTCTCCAGATTGTTTTGGTCAAATGAATAGACTATATGATTTGAATTAATAAGATTTTCTTCCAGAACATTTTAATTTTATTCATGGAATTGTATAGCATTTGAAAATTTATATTCTTCAATAGAATATGTATTTTTGTGCATTCACAAGTCAAGATTCAATTACCAATAATAATGAAAATAAACAAATATATATATACGCGCGCGCACACAAGCAAAGCCTTAGTAGGCTATGTTTGGTAAAAAATTTAATTTTGGTTTTAATGTTTTTTAAAAAGTCGACAAAATTAATTTGATAACTCTATTTTGACTTTTTACATTTCAAAACTTTTGAAAACTAGTTGTCATTTCCTTCGCAATTCTCACAACTCTAAATTGAAGTTTTGGTTTTCGAATACTATTATTTATTATTTTTCACAATCAGAGAAATGCTATTTTATTATTTTTATTAATTTTCAATATACTTGAATAGTAAATAAACATTTTTAATTATAATCTAATACTAAATAAAAGAGTCAATTTTTTTATTTTATTAATTTTCAATTATATTTGAATAGTAAATAAAATATTATTTTATTATTTTTAGTTATACACCAATAGTAAATAAAAGAGTCAATTTTATTATTTTTCAATTATACTTGAATTAATAATTAAAATATTATTTAATTATTTTTCAATTATACTCTAACACTCTGGATAATAAAATAAAAGAGTCAATTTTAAATAAAAAATAAATTTACAAAATATAATTTCTCTTCTCAAAAATTCAACAGTATGTTACTGTTTTGATTTGACAGAAATGACAGTACAACTTTTCAAAACTTGTCATTAATAGTGCCATAGTTAACGCAATTGATGAGTAAATACTTGACTCTAATAGGAATATGTTTTTTTTCCTTTCGAATGATAAAGCGTCCACGCCCGGACAACCATAATAGGAACTTGCCACTTAATTTCCAACATATTTTTTATGCCATTGTTCTTCATGCAAATGACAAGTAATTTAATTTCAGAAAAATTAAATAACAATTAATTTTAAAATGTGCTCCCAACAGTACCGTACTTTACCACTCAGACGTATAATCTCCCCATTTGGGAATGATCGAGAGAGTTTGAACCTCCTAATAGACATTTGTGATAGTGTGTTACGCGTGTACTTATTTATCTAAACAAACAAACAAATAAATAATAATGTACTTTTGTGCTACAATATTGGGTAATTAAGCATGTTTTTAAAAGTGGAATTCAACCAAACTATTTAAATTAATCATCAAAATTTTTTTTTTCATTAATTAATCATCATTTAATATTGGCGAAATCTTCATTAGATCCAAAAGTGATCACCCCAAAGTGTTCACAAGATATTCAAGATCTTCAATATCACAACTTTATCACCTAAAGTTTAACTTTTCAATTTTTTTACTTCAAGCCTATTTATGCAAAAGATTTTGAGCATGATGAGCATTTTCATGCATAAAAATCCTCACCTTTATTTATTTTAGCTAATAGGACTGAATGGTGATCATATTCATAAAAAATTTGATTTTAAAATTGTATTAAATCATTATTTATAATACATATATAGAGTATTGATCTCTTGTTCCAGTGGAGCAAGAAAATTAATTTACGGGGTAGAATAATTTATATAAAAAGTGCATGGTTCTATGTAAGAATTTTTTTTTACTGGATTCCCTTTTCTAGGTTTACAACTATCCATTGCAAAGAATTCAGTTCTTACAGGTAAATACTCAATACCCAAGTAGGCTTACAAAGTTGCCCGTAACCTGATCAAGTGCTTTCTGGGTCGTCTCGGACCTTGCAATTGGTATTTATCCTCAAAATATTGGGAGATTTTTTACATACACATACAAAGGGTTTACTTGTTACTAATATAGTCTAGCCTCTGTTCTTCTTTATTTAATCGAATGATTTATATAAAAAGTGCAGATTAATTATTTTTACTCCATGAGAAGCAAGAAATAAGGATTCTATATATATATATATATACACACACACACACATATATGGCATTTGTTTGATGATGTTTAATCATTTAACCAAGTATATATATATATATATATATATATATATATATATATATATATATATATAGATTAATTAGACGAGGTTCAAACTTTTGATTACATTTTTGAGCCATTCAAAACTACTTGTTAAAAAGGTGAGTATCCTAAAAAAACAAAGGGTAAAATTTTGAGTTATCATTTTGATTTTAGGTATTGTTGTTTGGTTTTGTGATTCTTTTTTGTCATTGACATAATAAAAAAAATTAAGAATCAATGGAGGGTGCACCTAATTTCAACAATGGAACAAAATATCCTAATTCATACTTCAATTTTGAATGTCTAATAATGAAGTCTATTACTAGCTCTTTCTATTAAATTCACTAATAATAATAATAATAATAATAATAATAATTCAGTACATGCAATTCAAGAATTGAAAAGAAAAAAATATATATGTGTGGTTCAATTTGATTGATACATTATCAAAGCAAGCTTATTACCCATTGTTTCCCCAAGAAGAATATATATATATATATATACACGCAAAACATTAAAAGGGTATATAATTGAAGAAATCACATAGGTCATCCATGTGTTTGATGACAAACCGGAGGAGAGAGAGAGAGAGTCACAGTCAACAGGAACTAGAACGTCCATTAACGGCAGGAGGGTACTTAAATGGTTTCCGCCGCCAATCAATGCTATGTCTTCGAAAGGTGTAACTGTTAAAAGACTAATAAAGACCCAACCTTTTTAATAAATTTAGAACAATAATAATAGTACTGTAATAGTAATCGGGATACTTCGGACTTTGCCCTAACTAAATTTCCTTTGACCCTAACATGCTATAGAAAGATTTTACTTGCTATTAATTTTGCGAATTAAAAGAATACTTCATTTTCAAAGATCCCCTCAAGTTTCATTTGATTTTATAAGATGGGAATCCTTCGTCAATGGACTTGCCATTTAAGTGTGTCGACCCAAATTCTACTAGCCTCATTTTCTTTCATATTCATGTGAAATTAAGAAAGAAAATATATATATTTTTGGCAATGTATGTCATTAAAAGAATTTCATAATGAGTGGAATCCTTTCCAAATAATCTTAAATTGAAATACGAAAATAAATCAATTTTTATACGAGTAATGATATTAACACCAGGCACTTGCAGTGAATTGTCAACCCAAATAAATTTTAATTGACTATTTATATTAAATACAAAAGAGTTTTATTTCTTTATTTGTTGTATAATTGATCAATTAAAAGAGTATGTATAGTAATTTACGGTAATTATTTGATGCAAAAATCATTTTGCTTTCTATATTGTGAGGGTAATTTAGTCCACCAAATTTGGTAAAGGGTTTGAAACTTTCCGGGACAAGGAGGATCCCGTGACAGCAAAGCTTGCCATAACTCTCACCCCTTCCTTCCCCCGACTTTATAAATAGTACCACTGTCCCTCCTGTCTAAAACCCTCTCTCTTTCTCTCCCTCCAAAGTCCAAACATACATTTATATATATATATAAGCTTTCAGAGTTTGTCGAGGCGGTTCGACCAGTTTCTCCGAAAGCAGCACAAAGGTAGTGTAGTTTCTTTTCGATCTGCTTAATTAGTTATGGTATTGTTTTGTGTGTATATATATATGGTTTTATGTTACTAGCTAGCTTGATGACCATCAAATACATGTACTCATATATACACAATCAATCTATTATCTGAACAATCTATATTTATATTTCAAGATTTTAGTTTCAAATTAAGCATTCACTGGAATTCTCACTATAAGCATGATCATGAGTTGTATTGTCAAGAGCTCCATTATATACATGTATATATATCTACACTCATATATATTGTAGTTTCAATTTAATTCTAGTCACGGGTGATTTTGGTCTTTCTCGGGTTTGTGGTGCCTGGTAGGTTCTGGTGGAGTTTGAGAGTTTATCATTCGGGACTATTCCTTTTTAGTTTTTCTAAACAGTTTGCTTCTTGGCTAAGGAGGTGGATTTTATACTTCGTACCACACCCAATGCACAGTGTTGTTTTATTTTTAAAAAGAAAAAAAATGTATCAAAACAAATTGAGAGTATTAGATGTGCTATCACAAGAAAATGCAAGCCGCCCTGTGGCTTGGTAATGGTGGTAAGGTAAAAGGTTGGGTTTTAATATGTTCGGGTTTCGAACCCAACACCCTCTCGTTAGATATGCAAGAAACAAGAGAATGAAAATGCAAGCCATTATCATTGTATTAGTACTATTTCCTCTCTGAAAAATAGTGAAACTGGTATGAGCGGTCAACTTAATATTGATTCCCAATAATCTTTTGTTTGTACAGAACTCTACAATTATTTTTCAAAGTACTTTTACATTATTTCTAATTTCTTAGGTATAATTGTCACTTATTTATACCATATATATACACACACACACAAATTCTTGTGTATAATAAATAACGTTTTATTTTGCAAGGATCACTAATATTGGTTTTAAAATTTATCATCTAATGGGATAACATGTGTTGCAGTTGGAACTGAATTTTACAAGTGTGGGTCTAGAGATGGGATTGCCACAATTATCAGCAACTAATGGGGATACTGTTTCGGTTTCATATAACTCTTGGCTGGTAATTTCACATGGTTAATCATCTGTATTCAAATCGACACACGAATGTAATATATGGAACATGTTGATAATCACCTTCTAAAATTAATTTTATGAAGCAAGTGCACCTCCTATTTTTTGTTGTCTCACAGATGAAACACCCATCCGCGTTAGATAAATTCGACAAAATGCTGAGCTTAGCAAGAGGGAAAAAGATAGTTTTGTTTTTGGATTATGATGGTACACTCTCCAAGATTGTAGACAACCCTGAAGAGGCTTTTATGACCGATAAGGTAATGTTTTTCTGCAGAAACATCATATATATCATACATAATCAATTGTATTGAACTACAAATTTTTGGAGTTGTACTTAGAATAACAGATTAATCCCAATGAGCATTGCAGATGCGAATGGCAGTACATGATGTTGCCGATTGTTTTCCCACTGCAATTATAAGTGGAAGGAATCGACAAAAGGTATCAACATCTCTACCATCAAATTCATTTCACAATATCTTATAAAGTAATTCAAAGGCATGTAAGATTTCTGACTTTTTTTTTTTTTTTTTTTGTTTCCCCTGTTCTAGGTGTATGACTTTGTAACATTAGACAATGTTTACTATGCTGGGAGTCACGGTTTGGATATAGTGGCTCCTTTAGAGTCTTCCAAGTATGGAGATTCCAAACATCAAACTAAAGTTGTAGATAAAAAGGTAGTTTTCTCTGCTTCAACTAATGGGCACAACTCATTTCCTTTGTTTATCATTTGTTCACCATTTTGTTCATTATAAACATACACAGATTTTCAAATTAGCCAAGGGTGTGCTAGCCAGAAAGAAGCTACCACTCATCCATATAGTGGCTGTTTTTTTTCCTATGATTAATTATAACATGAATTCCATTATGTAGGGTAATGAAGTTGTTCTCTTCCAACCGGCAAAGAAGTACTTGCCTGCAATTCAACAGGTTTGGTCATATTGTTGGTTTATTTTTGTTTGAAGATTTACTTAGACATTCTCTTTACATCTCACATTTATACATTTCTGGTAGATACTTTGCACATTGAAGGACAAAACTAGTAGCATAAAAGGTGTCATGATTGAAAACAACAAGTTCTGCATATCCGTACACTTCAGGCACGTGCGCGATGAGGTATGTAGTGTAGTCATCGAGCAACAAAATTTAATACTTGAACTCCTCAAATAATTAAGCATAATGGCTAAACTGAAATGTGATTTAAATGCAGGATTTTTGCACCCTTGAAAGGCTGGTGAAGTCTGTATTAGCAGATTACCAAGAGTTTCGCTTATCAAATGGCAGAAAGGTAGCAAGAGTTTCACTCTAAGGCCTTTTTAGTTATGGATGTTTGAATTCTATGCAATATTCTGAATAACCCATGTATTTTCTGGGAATTCTTGTGTTTATAGGTTTTTGAGATACGTCCTGATATGGAGTGGGATAAAGGTCATGCTCTGGAATACTTACTTGACACTTTTGGACTTGGCAGCTCCAGCGATGTTCTTCCAGTGTACATTGGAGATGATCGAACCGATGAAGATGCTTTTAAGGTATCCATTGACTAAATCATCCTGGCAGATGATTTGGAAAGATAGTATCTGTGTAATTCATTCATTGCTGTTCTATGTCTTAAATGTGGATTCCGCTTAAGGAATGGTGACATTACTGTGGAAATTTTTAGGAGAATTTTATATGTTTGGGACTGTTTGATGGTGACTCGTAATCCTCCAAACAAAGAAGGGCAATGTATCGTCTACGACTCCTAATTTTTATTTGTTTGGGACTACTCAGATGCACAGAAACTCCATAAGAATGTGGCATTCATAATTTCATACTTTGATGCCACATCCACATGTGATGGCACCAGAGAAAAGAAAATAGTTGCCCCCTATTATGTAATTTTCAAATATTTAGTATAACTTATTGGTTTTGGTTTTTTTGTTGTTTGTATATGAATAATTGCAGGTTATTCGGAGCAGGGGACAAGGTTTTCCTATTGTTGTTTCTTCCATTACAAAGGACACTGCAGCTTTATATTCTTTGCGTAACCCAGACGAGGTGAATAAATTCTTATTACGCCTAGTGAGGTGGAGCAAAAATTATTGTTTGGGCAATTAAATTGCCTAGATTTCGAGAGAGACTAATAAAGAAAATGGTGCATCAGTCCACCAGCCCTTGGTGATCCCGTGCCCATTATTATTGCTATGTATACTTAAGTTGCCTCCATATTTGGATTCAACTTTCGTAACACACAGCATGATATGAAATAGAGGAGTGCTAACTGGATGGAAGTACGCGCAATCTAGTATATAGAATCAAGACAGTATAGAGGTAGACCACTTTTCAGAGGCTGAGCATTTTTGAGCCGAAAGGAGACTTTCTTTCTCTCTTTTTTTGGAAAGAAAAATCCCAACCCCCGGCTTGAATTTTTCTCTCTCATGTAGTATGATTTGTGCTTCATTTAATAAAAGAAAATCCTGTTGGTATATTTATATGTGTGTGTGTGTTATGTATATGTCAATTTCTGATAGATATCTGGTGCAAGGGTAACATGTTTGTTGTTCCAATGGCAATGTTTCAGTTGTATGTTTGATGAATTGAATATTTTTCACAAGGGCCTATTGAGATTTATAACAGTAATGTCTAGTCTACTATGTAGTGAATGATATCAAATGTGGAGGGAACGTAATTTATTTTCCACGCAACTTTTCTTGTGGGAAATACACACAAAGAAACAGGAGGACGACTGTGACTGTGACTCTTTTGCCATGTAAGAGTTGATCGAAAAGATATACAAATCTCACTCAAAATACATTCCTATGCCGTCTGTGTGTTTAAAAGATTTTATTCCATTATTAGAGTATCAATGACAAAATAAAAATATATTGATGGCGCTAATTTATTCCTCATTTGGATGAGCGTCTTTGGTTAAGACCTTGCCTTACTAAAAGCCAATCTGTTGCTATATATTTACTTTTATTTTATTATTATTATTTTTTTAACACACTTTTTATTTCTTCAATATTATGGTAGATATGAATTTTCATTTCCGTCACAAATGCCAATCTCATTGACCATCATTTTAGCTCTTTATAGTGTTCACATTTGTAAATATAGACACATGAATTTATAAAGGAGGCATTGAGTCCAAATGAATTTTTTTATATTAAATAAGCCCAACCCTTTATAGACTTCTATTAGATTTGTATATGACAATAACTCAAAAGTCAAAACACCCATTATGACTGTGTATTTTGAAAATAAGATGGCTAAAACTTTTCGCATATAAACAATTTAAAAGTTAATATAAGTAATTATATTATTATTATCAAAAGTCAAAACACCCATTATGACTGTGTATTTTGAAAATAAGATGGCTAAAACTTTTCTCATATTTAATTTTCTTTTCATTCACTTTATTTTCACTTTTCATCATAAAATTCCGTCAAAACCAAACCGAGAGGTTGTTAAGCAAGGAATAAACTGAAGAAATATATGTACACAGGGGAAATGAAAACAAGGCTCCATCAATGGAAAATTAGAAAGACCTAAGGTAGAAAAGCCCAAACAAAATACAGACCAACAAGAGGAGGAAAACCCTAACAAGCCCAAGGGCCAAACTGGGCCAACCAATAAAGTAGTAAAATAATGAAGTGACTCAAGAATTGTAATAACGACCTAATTTTCGCATTGCAATCGCATATAAACGATTCATTTCACCTTCCCTAAACCTCGGACCAACAAGAGGAGGAAAACCCCTAACAAGCCCAAGGGCCAAACTGGGCCAACCAATAAAGTAGTAAAATAATGGAGTGACTCAAGAATTGTAATAACGACCTAATTTTCGCATTGCAATCCCATATAAGCGATTCATTTCACCTTCCCTAAACCTCTCTCTAGTGGAGTAGAGAGAGCTTAAACCCTATCTCTCTCATCCCTTCCATTCACGCCGTTGCAACCCTAAACACTTCCGGCGAAACCCAGTTCAAGTTCCCCTTGATGCCGCTCGTTTCACTGCAAACCTACTACCGTTAACTCGGATAGACAGGTTTTTAAGTCATTTCCGTTTCATATTTACCCTATATATCTAGCATGCCAGTCAAGCTCCTCCCACACCTCCGCCTACTCAACCCATCTCTTCCGGTGACCCGTTTCTCTGCCATGAATCCCAACACACCCATCAAACCCTCCCGGGTCATCCCCATTTTCTCTCGGATCTTTCCATTGAAGCTCAGGTATCAATCCCGCTCGAAAAAACTTGGAGGGCTTCCCATTTTATCCACCCAGCGACCACCACCACCGCAACAAATTGGTGTTAGTCGATTCTCGACTCGCTCGTTCCGACCCAGGGCGGATTCGAGCTCAGAGGTTAGGGCTTCCAAGAGTCTGATTGAGGACGAGGCTGAACTCAGTGACTGGGTTAGTGAGCTGAAGTCTGACTCGTTTCGTACTCGCTTAAAGAGCGACGATGACGGTGACAATGATTCAGGCAGAGATAGGCGTAGGCCTAGAGATGAGAGAGGCGGGAGGGATGCAGGCTCATCGTTTAAGAGGCGAAGGGAGGGTGAATCGGATGACTACAGGGTGTCAAATAGGAGGAGTCCCCGGGACTCATTCCAGTCATCTCCTCGGAATTCGACGGGGAAAGGGCGGTTTGGTAGTGAATTGAATGGAAAGAATGAGAGGTTTACATCGCCAAGGAGAGAGAATGACTCATTCCAGTCATTTCCTCGGAATTCTACAGGGAAAGGGCGGTTTGGTGGTGAATTTGATGGAAAGAATAAGAGGTTTACATCGCCGAGGAGAGAGAATGATTCATTCCAATCATCTCCTCGGAATTCTTCAGGAAAAGGGCGATTTGGTAGTGAATTGGATGGAAAGAATAAGAGGTTTACATCGCCGAGGAGAGAGAATGACTCATTCCAGTCATTTCCTCGGAATTCTACAGGGAAAGGGCGGTTTGGTAGTGAACTTGATCGAAAAAATGAGAGGTTTACATCACCGAGGAGAGAGAATGATTCAAGCGCGGGGAAGAATTTTTCAATGGAGAGGAGAGGAGGGGTGAGAGGTTCAGAATCTGGGTATGGGCAGGGAGGAGGGGCTGGTGGTGGTGGTGGAGGAGGATTAAAGAGAAGCGGGAAAGGTCAGCAAAGGGGAGGTTTTGTTACATCGGATGAAGAAATAATTGATGATGATGATGATGATGCTGATGATGATGAGGAGGAGGAGGAGGAGGAGGAGGAAGGTAAGTCAATGGCTAGGTTTGGCCAATTGATTAGTGAGGAAGATAGTGAAGAAGATAGTGAAGAAGAAGATGATAGTGATGACGAGCTTAAGGATGGAAGTCTTTTCTCTGGATCTACCAATGAAGAAGATAGTAGGTCCATTAAACCCAAATCTTCACCTGGAAAGAGTGATTCCTACCTTAGTGAGACCAGGTATGTTTTTTCCACAACCTATTTCTTTATATATATGCATTTACTTAATCCTATTACATAGTCACATATGAACAGAAAAATCCGCTGCGTAGTTTTTTCCTAGCATATTCGGTTGCAATTCGATTGTGAGGAAGCCATTGCCATGGAATGTGAGCAACGGCATAATATCATTTGTAGAAATTTATAATGAGTGTTTTTTGAATATTGGATGCCTATAGCAGCAATTTGTTCTATTATTTTTGTAAGCCGAATGAAAGGAATTTTTTTATAATAATAATGAAGTGTCTACTCTTTAGTGTAAAATGTTTGGTGAATGAGAACCAGTTTGTCTCAAGAAATAAATGTGGCCCGATGGAGGATGTTGAAACTGTTGAATCATGAATGGCATATTAGAAAAACTAATTATTCATTGAGATTTGAAAACATAATGATTGAAAGTGGTTTAAGCTAGTTTGGTGATGTACAACAAAGATCGTTGCATTTAGTTGTGGAAAAGTTATTTGATTACATTTTACAGCACTACAAGAACAAGAGAACCGCAAAAAGTTGTGTGTGTTGAGACAATAAGAACATACATTGGAGTGTGTTATAACTGGGGCAGAACTAAATGACAAAGGGCTTGTTCACCTGACCTGTAGATTTATGTAAATGTCCACAGGTTTGATCAATGTTCGATTTCTCCCTTGTCATTAAAAGGAATCAAGGATGTTGGATATGAGAAGATGACTGTGGTACAGGAGGCAACACTTCCTGTCATTCTCAAAGGTTTGTTCCTTCCAAAAACATATAATCTGAAAGTAAATGATTCCGACTCGGTGCCATATTTTTATTTTTAATTCTCAGTTTCTTTTCCAAAATAATGAAAGAATTACATGGTTGAATATTATGATAATTTTGTTATAATATTATGGGTATTTATCAACTAACATTTTATTATTGATTTTCCAACAGCCATTGATTGCATTTGTTTGCTGGATTAAGTGAACATGGATTATAAGAATTCATTTCTTAACAAAGAAGACATGAATTTGCATCCTGATAACTGGGTTCAAAAGAGGACTCTTATAAGTTAATTAGAATTAGATAGATAAAAAGTTGATTTATAGGACTGTGCAGTTGGCATCATGGAAGTTTTGTTGATATGTAAATTCCTTTGATTTGAATCACGTAGATCCTGTGAATATGATCCTGTATTCAACAGTGTTACATAGGATGTTACTAGAAAATATTGACCCCATCATTCTAACCCAATCATGTGTGCATCAAAGATCATACTTCTTTCTACATTGTCCTTTCTACATTGTCCTCAATATGCTTATTTTCATATGATTTATTTTGTAATTTTTATATGATAACAATGGCTGTTGTAATTAATTGTGTTTCTAGGTAAGGATGTTCTCGCCAAAGCAAAAACTGGCACTGGGAAAACTGTAGCATTTTTGGTAAAATGCTTCATCTTTTGTGATTTCACAAATGCATGTTGACTTATGTATCATGTAAAGGTTAATTGGCATTTTTGTTTTTAGAATCATGAAAATTTCCTTTGTAAGGAATCATTTTTATTTTTTCAAAATTAAACAGTAAAGATAGCAAACTGTTTACATGGAACGAATTCCACTGAATTATGAGTTTACCCTTAGGAAGAAAGTTAAATTATAGGGATAAAATTTTCATTCACTCATGCTCTGTCGATTTTTTCCTTTATTTTAGAGAAAATAGTGTTTTTACTAGATAAAAAAAAAGGAAGCGATGTTAATCTGGCTATCTTTTTGAATTTAGAATGAACTTTTGAGTTTGGAGTACAACTGTACAAGTTCATTAGAGAATTTGTAGGAAGGACCTGTAGTTAACTTTCCTTTAACTGTCTTTGATTTAACTCATCATATGTAAAAGATAATAGGGAGTTCTTAGTGTACTTACTGTTAAAATTCTTAATTTCAGCTTCCATCAATTGAAGTAATTGTAAAATCACCACCTCTTAGTCGCGATCAAAAGCGACCCCCGATTCTTGTGCTTGTAATATGTCCAACTCGAGAGTTGGCTAGTCAAGCTGCTGCTGAGGCTAACACCCTCTTGAAGTATCATCCTTCTCTTGGTGTTCAAGTTGTGATAGGAGGTACAAGACTTGGGCTGGAACAGAAACGTATGCAAGCCAACCCTTGCCAGGTGAGTTTTTCCCTCATTGCAAGAGACAATGCATGTATCATCATCCACTCAGGTGATCCACTGAACCACGCACTAAATTGGGTTAATGATGCTTATCATTCAATAAAACATAACAAAACCTGAGTATCATGACTGCTTGCATAAGGAGAAGTGAGAGATAACACCACAGACTAGTTACCAAGGGCTTGTTTGGCAACCTCGTTTTAAATTTTTGTTTCATCCAAAATAGAATCTAAGTTTTTGTTGTGGATTGTGTTCATTAGTGATTGAAAATATGTTTGGTAACGTAAAATATGTTCTAAGATTTTTGGAAGCAAAAACATTAAAGTAAAAAAGTGTTGCAAAATTGAGAAACAAAAAGGCTAGTTAAAAAGGCCACCTGGAGTTTTTTTTGGGGGTTCTGTTCATTGCTACTGTGAAAACATGTTTGGTAAAAAAATGTTGCAATATTGGGAAACAAAAAGCTAGTTAAAAAAGGCCAACTTGAGTTTTTTTGTGGGGAACAGTTCACCACTACAGGACTTTTGCTACAGTGCGAAAACATTAGGAAACACCAATTTAGTGTTTCCGATTTGGGTCTCTCTTTGGCCACAAATGCGGTACTATTGAAATTGCAACAAAAGTTACCAAATGCGTTTTGGTGTTTTGCTTTGGTACAGTACATCATATACAACACAAAACATGAAACAAAAAGGGTTGCCAAACTGGCCCTAAGTGAACATACTCCATTTTGAGTTTTCACTTTAAAGGGATCCCCTGGTACAGGTGATCTACTTTTAATTCTTCACTGTATGCATATATTGCTGCGCGACTTGCTGTATAGATGTTGTTATCGTAATGTTGCAATAACTAACTTCATCTTAACTCAGATCCTTGTAGCTACACCTGGAAGGCTCAAGGATCATATTGAGAATACTGCAGGATTTGCAACTCGGCTGATGGGTGTGAAAGTCCTTGTGCTTGATGAAGCTGATCATTTATTAGACATGGGATTCCGTAAAGACATAGAAAAAATCATAGCTGCAGTTCCAAAGCAGAGGCAAACGCTTCTGTTTTCTGCCACAGTCCCAAAAGAGGTTTCTTTCTCATTTGTCTGTTGTAATGAGTTGTAAATTTGAAGAAAATTCTGAACAAGATTTTATTTATTTATTATTATTATTTTTTTGGTGGTGAAGGTCCGTATGATCTGCAATATTGCTTTGAAAAGAGATCATGAATTTATCAATACAGTTCAAGAGGGTACTGAGGAGACACACGCACAGGTAACTGACATTTGTTAACTGCTTTTTATGTGTATTTTGATCAATAATATGAATATCATGACATCTCAAATTTTAAAATTTTTATCATTTCAGGTCAGACAGATGCATCTTGTTGCTCCTTTAGATAAGCACTTTTCACTGCTCTATGTTCTGTTGAAAGAGCATATTGCAGATGACCTTGATTATAAGGTATGGATTGTAATTCAGAATTGTATTTTCTGAAATATTTTTCATTACACTTTCCATAAGTATTTCTTCCATTTGTTTGAGTTTATGTGAAAATGTAAATGTTTATGGAAGATGAAAATATTGGAAGTGCCTCGTAAGTCTGGATTATTGAACATCTATTATTTTTCCTTTTTGCATTAACATTTTGGTGATACTCAAAATTACTAAAACTTTTTTGATCAACATTATCACAATCTGCTTCATCATTGTTCTGAACTATTTTGTGCAGGTTCTTGTATTTTGCACAACTGCAATGGTGACTAGACTTGTAGCTGACTTTCTAGGTGAGTTGAACTTGAATGTTCGAGAAATCCATTCTAGAAAGCCTCAGAGTTACAGAACCAGGGTTTCTGATGAATTTCGGAAGTCAAAGAGTCTTATTCTTGTGACTTCCGATGTTTCTGCACGTGGAGTAGACTATCCGGATGTTACCCTTGTTATACAGGTAGCACACTAATTTCTCCTTGCTCTAAAAATTTGAATTCTGCATACTATCAGTTATGTATTCACCTCATATGAAATAGAAGCCTTGATGTTAGGAGTTTGCAGTAGGACTTCAGATATTGTGTATAACCTCATGCTGAACAGAGGCATTTGTGTATTCACCTCATATGAAACAGGAGCCTTTATGTTAGGAGTTTGCAGTAGGACTTTAGATATTGTGTGTATAATCTCATGCTGAACAGAGGCATTTGTGTACCTTTCATTGGAACCTAACTGCATGTCTGATTTAATCATCCGTAGCCCTAACGACACAATTTAGTGTAGGGATTTTGTGAGGCAAACATAGTGTTAGGATGAGCGAGAGACTTGTCTCTGTTCTATAAATTCAGCTATCTTGTTATGGTTAAATTAGAATTTAGCTTTTTGTAAGCCACGTTGAGGTTATATATGAATTACCACTCAATTCATGGATTGACAAAATTATATTTGCTGTTATAGGTGGGCGTGCCGTCTGATAGAGAGCAGTATATACATCGGCTTGGTAGAACTGGGCGTAAAGGTAAAGAAGGACAAGGGATACTGTTATTGGCACCTTGGGAAGAATTCTTTCTATCTACCATTAAGGATTTGCCAGTTACAAAGGCTCTGGTACCTGCAGTTGATCCAGACATGAGGAAAAAGGTGAGCATAGATGAAAATTCACACTTCATTATCTGGTATCTTTCGTTGGGTTTTCACCATCAAGCATTCAGTAATTCCCTGAATCAAAGTTAACAAAGTTTTGCATAAACATTATGCATTTGCCATGTGTCTAATTTAACTTTATTGTTTCCGTCTTCCAATAAAAAGGTGCAGTATATATGCAAAATCTCATTGTTGATGCGAATAAACTACAGGGAGCTTTTAAGTAATAATACCATCTTAAACTGAACAGGTAGAACGAGCATTATCCCATGTAGAGATGAAGAGCAAAGAAGCAGCATACCAGGCATGGCTTGGTTACTACAATTCCAATAAGAATGTTGGACGCGACAAGTGCAAACTTGTGGAGCTTGCAAACGAGTTTAGCCGTTGCATGGGGCTCGACAACCCTCCAGCAATTCCCAAGCTCGTCCTCGGCAAAATGGGCCTCAAAAACATCCCTGGCTTGCGTTCTAAATAGATTTGTAGCTTTGGCTGTTCTGGTAAATTTAAATTTTGATCTTCAAATGGAAAAATTCATGCCGATCATTACAGATTTATTTATTTATTTTTGAAAGGACGTGAGAGTATTTCACAGGTTACTTAACCAAAAGAATATGCAAATGTTTTTGGGAAGTTGAGTGGCAGCAATCCACCGCCTACTCTTGTAAATTCCATAATCTAGTTACCTATATTTTCTTTTTGGGAATTTAATAACATTTGTAATAATGTTTTTTTATTTGCACCTCCATAAATTCTAAATCAAAATGCAAAGAAAAATCAGTTTCCTGAAATAATGGCTTGAATTTGCTAGTAAAACTTTAGAACTTGATTTTCAAACTAATTGTTTGTATGATGTCTTTGCATATTCTTCTATCTGACTCCATTATTTTATCTTATTTATCAAAGTATTTCCGGGTTTAAATCTATGGGTTACAAAAACATCGCAACATTATTTTTATTTGAATTAAATTGTGTATAAAACAAAATATAATGAGTTGTTAGAGCAACTCCAATATTCTCTCATTTGGGCCTCTTAAACCAAAATACGAGAGTTGGGTAAAAAAAAAGTTTCTCCAATGGGCTCTCAAAAATTTGAGGTTCCCAAATTTCTTCCAATATATGACAGCTGTCAAATATTTTTGGCAAGTCTCTCGTTTCCTAAAACGGTGCCATTTTTCACCAGTCATCACCCACTCGCATCTCTATATATATTATATATATAATATATATATAAATTTTCGAAAAAAATTATATAAAAAAATTAATTCACAAATAGTGGTAAAAAAAATTATAAAAAATTTATTTTTTTTGTCATTTTTTGACCAGATATTTTAGATTTGTACTTCTTTTTAATTAGGTTTAATTTTAGTTTCTTCTAATGTTTACAACTTGACTTGGAATGGGCCTAATATTAATATTATTGATGCAAATATGAATGGTGAGAATGGTTGTTGAAAAAGAATAGTGGTTGTCTTAAAAAATAATATTTTGTGTGAAATGTACTATTAGAACTGAATTGATAATATTTTGTCATTATAATACTTGTCAAAATATAAATTTAGCATGGGAAAATAAATTTTAGCATTGGATGCGCTGTTATACAAATGGTGATGGTTGGAAATATTGTAGAGAGAGAATGTAATCGAAATGCCCATGTCGACAAAGGAAGAAAAACGGTGGGTTGGAGCTCTGAGTGGATCCCAATGAGAGTGTGATATTTTATTAGTAGCCGATCGGGCCATATAAATGTCAAAGAGGCAAGACAATCGTAGCGGGATTTTGAACGGCCAAACGATTCGCCACGATTCGCCACATCCATCTCGACACGTGTGCCACCGACAGCTGACTGTGACTCGTGGTTACGTTGACATTCAATTGCAGGATATGTGTGATTCACTTTCATAGGGAAATGTGTACTACAAACACAGACACTAGCATGTCACAAGTGTCACCAACCTATTAATAATGACTTTCCCTATTTACTTTTTTTTTTTTTTTAACATATTCTCTTTATATATATATATTTTTTTTAAAATTTCAAATAAATACACACACCATAAAAATTAGAGAACTTATTTGGTTGTTCATTGTATTGCATTTGTTTAGCCTATCATGTAAGTTCTCTATCCAATCAATGAATTGCGAGAGATAATTTGATTTTTACACATAATTAAAAAATCTGTCTCAATTGTATAATTGAATAAAAAAAAATCATATCTTTGTCATAAGGGAGCTCTCGATATAAATAGAATATATTTTTTTGTTGCAATTTAAATTTAAAAATAGAGGGTTGTTAAATGATTCTATTCCCACTTCCTCCCTCATATTTTTAGAATTTTTGACTTTGATATTTTTAGATATTTTGTGAATAATGTGAGCTTTGAAAAAATAGATTTGATTGGATGTCCAACGTTCCACAATGAAATTCCCAAAAACAACTTTATCCCATGATTTAGCAAATAGAAAAATAACAAACAAAATAAACTCCAACATTGTCAACATGCAATGAAGCTCCGTACTTAAAATTTTAGGAACATAAATGCATAAGACCAAGTGTTTTAGAGGCAGTGGTTGGTATGTCAAATCAGAAAATAAAAAATTATAAATAAAAAAAAAACTTCTTCTAACTAAATATTTAAAAAACAATTCTTAAAAACTATTAGCCAAGCAAATTTTAATTTTCAATATTTATAAAACAAAAAAAATGGACCAAACAAAATCATAATTTTTATAGAAATCTAATGGTGAGAAGAAGGATGCGGTGAAAATAAGCAATCCATTCACCATAAACATGCTTATATTATTATTAATATTATTATTAATATTAATTCCCCCAACTTCTTCCTAGTGGCAAACACCCCAATTATTATAGATATGAGTGTGATATATGCGAGACAAATTGGTGACCACTGGACAATACAAAATCTCCAAATCAAGGATCTGGTCGATGGCCAAGAAGATTTCTCAAGTAGGGACCATTATAACTGCAGCAAGTGAGCTCCCACCACATAAACTATTGTGGGGGAGGTCACAACTCTGAATTACACTAGTCGTCCCCTCATTATCTTAGAAGCCCGATTAACGATTAAGAGACGTTCATTCAATTCACCACTATATCCTTCTTTTGTTGCTGCATATATATCATATACGCATATTATATCATTTCACATAACACCATCTTGACAAATATAATCTGTTTGTTTTGAAAAATATTTTAATATTTTTTTATTTTTATTTTGTAGATATTTAATAAAAATTTATGTCGAAATTGAGGTCAAATTCATCGAGCGGACCATATAAAATAACTTATCAAAAATTGATGAATAAGTAATTTTTGTTAAATTTTAATATTTTCTTTTTCGTAAATATTCTACTACAATCAAATACCAAAAACTAAAAAATTAAAAAATATTTACGTCCAAATAAACGAAATTGACATTTTAAACATTCCGAACCAAAAATATATTAACCCTTCCAAATATATTTTTGATCCGCTATATATATCACACATTAAAAGAACAATATTATAGTGACGGATTCAACTTATTGTGGTCAACAACCATCATTTTTCTACCTCCTGTTCATTACTACTACTACTACTGTTTACTGGGAAAGTGAAACACAGGCGTCTTATGCCTAATAATTAATAATATCGTAGGGACCATTACAAAAATATCCTAGGGTCCACTTCCTGCTTTTATTAAGCTACTGCGTCCTTTGTTGTGTTCACTGTATCAATTTTATACAATGATGTAACATTATTTACATCATTGTATCTATATAATTACTGCTACGTAGTAAATAAAATTGATACAGTGAACACAACAAAGGACGCGGTGGCTTAATAAAAGCAGGAAGTGGACCATATATATATATATATTTTATGTAACAATGTTAGATATTAGTGATTAGTTATTGGAGTAGTGAAAAAAAATTGCAAGGTTTTGCGGACTATTAAAAGTAATCCTACCACTTAACAACATGATACTTATAAGATTTGGAATTCAATTATAAGACGTTTGATAATACATTTTGTATGCATTTTAAAAAATGATGATTGTGTTAAAAATGTCAGGATTTGGTGAGATTTGGAATTCAAAATAAAAATTTTAGTATTTGGATTGAATTAAATCTAAAAAGGAGTTGAATTTCATCAGATTTGAAATCCCAAAATACAGTGAACTCAAATTTGATAGAATTTGTAAATTGCTTAATTAAAGAGTTTGTAATTTATCTAATTATCTATTCTTTCTAATAAAATATAATATTGCAATTAAGATAAAATAATAAAAAATTATTCTTAATTTTTTTTTCAAATCTCTTTTTGAATGTTTTTTGATTTGATTTTCCAAAGAATTTGGTCAATATAACGTGTGAGCCTCTTTGTTTCTCTCTCCTTGCTTCTTCTAATTTTGAGTTTTTCTTCTTTATTCAAAATTGAAGATAAAAAAAAATTAAAATTTTCATGTTTCGCCAATATAAAAGATACAAAATAAAAAAAACAACAACTATTATTTCTTTAAATTTTGTATTCATGAAAATCAAACAAAAGCTTTGATACGTGAATACTTTTATCTAAACATTTGGACCAATCTCTAACTAGAATTAATCTAGAAAAATTTGACCAATAATTTTATAAAAAGAAGATAGATGAGAAGAATTAACGAAGAACAGGAGAGAGAAACAAAGAGGAAGAGAGAGAAAAAGAAGTTAGCATCGTACTTGTAATGAAATTGTCTGAGGCAGCTAGGTTAAGTCCGATTCGGTGTTCTTTTCGGCAGAAATTTTCTATTTATCTGTCACTCGGCTCATATATTATTGGCTAGGAAAGGGAAAACAAATAAATTAAAATTACCATACTCATTTAGGTGATATTTTTCTTTTTCCTCCTGTTTCTCAAACTTCCCATTCGACGTCTCCTCCACTTCACCTTTCAAATGATGTTTCTCACGAACTCTTCAGCCACCTCAATCACACAAACCCTACACACTCCACACTTCTTTTGAAGCTCTCACCACTCTAATTTCTCTATATTCTCATGCAAATATCATCAAATAATATATATAAATATATATATATCTGTGAAACCTCTTAATGCTCCTTAGCTTAGCTTCCATGGAGGACACATCCAAATGTTCTTGAACTCGTAATTACACTCTATCTCTTACGCTTTTGTTTTTTGTTTTTTGTTTTTTTTTTTTTCCTTTGTAATTTCGTGAAGCTATTTCCGTAGGGCCTTCAATTTTTTTTCTTGAATCTCAAGCTGTCAACAGGTGGGATTCCAAAATTCGTCGACACCAAGTGAGTTTTTATCATTTTGGAGTTCTTAAAATATCTTTAGAAGGTAGTTATTCACCAAATCTCGTTTGGCATTTGTATTCATGTGTGTGAGCGTATATTTATGTTTGTGTGTATATATACACACGCTGTCACACATATGTATATATATGGATGCTTGTATGCGTGTAACTCGCATTTTCAAACATTATCTATATAGACTTCAACTACTGTATATTTAAAATTTTGCTCAAGTTTTTATTGAACTTTTAGAACGAACGAGTACATTTAAAAAGATTACTCCAAATTTTTACTAAAAAACCTATATATATGTGGAGTTGGTTATTGCTAGTTATGCTGATGAGCTTGTCAGAGGGCTCAATTTAATGAATTAATTATTATTCTTATAGTTGTTTTGTTAGTCATGCCCAGTTGAATCTGTATATTTGAAACAACATATGATTTTTCAGTTTTGATAATGCTAATCAGTAATCACGCTGTGGAATCGATTCATTGATAAACACCAGATTTCTAAGTTTAGTGCTGGTGTCATTTTAGCTTCTTGAATTTTATGACTGATCGTGGCCCTTATCATTTGTATTTTTTGGTATTAGTTGTAATTTGTATTAGCAACACTTATGATTAGCATTGGTAAAAGTGCAATCTGCCTGTTCATCGGATTTTTTATTTTTTATTTTTGAATGAATTGGATTCGGTATGTTACCATTCATCTTTCCTGAAAGCAGGAACCAACTTATAAATTTAGAATATTAATGTGATTATAATTTCTTTTACAATTAGTGACTTTGATTGAAGGCCTTTGATTGCATTAAATATTGATATGGGAATGATAACTGAGGGAATCTTCAGACTGGTTTTATTGTTTGTTCAATGGGAATACATAAATCTGTACTTTGGGACGAGGCACATTTTGTGAAAAATGAGAGCTTTCCAAGCTCAAGAAATCGATCAGATGGCAACAGACTGCATGTATTACTAAGCAGGAGTTTTCTGATTCTGAAATTTGTGCATCATACAATTTGTTTACCATTTTGTTGTTTTGTTTTCATGGTAAATAATATATAAATCACATAGAATTGCTTTGAAATTCAATAGTCAAAGTATTGCAAGAATGCTGGTACCTGAAGGATTTCCTGGTTGTCTTCAACTCTTTTAGACAACCAGTGACACATATCATATTTGTATTTCATATATATGGGAATCATACCTTTTTCTCTTGTATCTATGTAATTGATTAAATTTAGAAATGTTTCCTGTATTTGTTTTTCATCATTTACAGTTAATTCATCAGGTCAACATAATTGAGGGATTATCATTCAGAATGCATACTGTGATTTTGGTACTATGAAATTTCTTTATCTGAATGCGTAGTACTTGGCATTGACTTTTATTTCACATAGAGGGGCTCAAATTTCTGCATGGTTAACTTTTGTATGGAAATATTCCTCTTTCCAGGTGAAATCTACACCAAATTATTTAAATGCTGTAGATTTAGAAGCAAAGATTTAACCATGATGAATCAGATGATATTAGCCGTAGCTGTCAGATAGAAGAGCTTAATGAAGACTTGCAGCCAGTTTATACTCTTCTGAAATGAAGGACGAACAGGTTAGTTTGAGTAGTATCTTCACAGAAATTTTTATCTGTTTTCTCACCACTGCTCCATAATTTCGTCTTTTCTTGAGTGTTGAATATTATACACATGTATATTGTGGTTTTAGAAGAGTTCAAAAAAAATAATTATTACAAGCACTTTAACTTACCACTATCCGTTAGATTGAGTAGTATCTCCTGCCACCCTCAAGGAGGTCAGTTTTCAATTATAGTTAGGACACGGATTTATGTGTAGTACTTTCCTGAAAAAAGGATCATTGCTAGCTTTGTCATTGAAAACAGGGAGTCAAGTTGGTTGTTTAGCTTTGGAGCCTCCTTTTCAACTTTAGGCATAGTAAAATTCTCCTTCCAAGTTGGTTTTTCGTTTTTTTTTTTTTTTTTTTTTTTTTTTTTTTTTTTTTTTTTTTTTTTTTGATATATTTTTTATTTTAGATGTTTAAGACCAAATGGAAAAGTTGTCACAGGATCCACAAAACACACCAGGAGTACAATCCTTGACCCAAGTTTCACATGAGTCCCAAAGTGACCAACATAACAAGAAGGCAGAGCCTCCCATAGCAGACTCAGGTTCAGTTTCCATTTCGAGCAATGAAAACAGGAAAGTTTCACGTGACGATATTGAACTTGTAAGGCAGTCTGTTCCGTTATATATGTGTTTACTAACTTAACAAATCTCAGATAACATGTTTCCTATTTCAGCCTCAATTTTTATTTTATATGGTTTTCTGTAGGTCCAGCATTTGATAGAACGGTGTCTACAGTTGTATATGAATAGAGATGAGGCAGTAAAAACCCTCTTGAATCGTGCAAAAATAGACCCCGGGTTTACTACTTTGGGTAGGCATATTCAAACCTTTGTAAATGTCTTCTGTCATCCTAGTCCACATATTATTAGATGAGTTTGTTTTAATGGTTCATCAGTTTCGTACTTGAATTTATGCTGGTATAAGGAACATTCAACTTCTCTTTAAAAATTGATCAATGATTTCATGAGCCGTTAGCCAAATATGATGTGATGACAAAGTGGTGACATTATTTCCACGGTTATATGACATCAGCTTCTTTATGAAGTATAAATGACCTTCTAAAGTAACTAACAAAGTCATATACTATTTTTTTAATTCTTTGTATTTTAAACCCATTCTAGGCATCCCAGCTATCTATACCTTTAGAATTTATCATTTTATCTGTCGTTTCAGTATGGCAGAAGTTGGAAGAAGAAAATGCAGAATTTTTCAGGGCTTATTATATAAGGCTAAAATTGAAGAAACAAATTATCTTGTTCAATCATTTGCTAGAGCATCAGTATCATCTAACACAGCCAAAGGTTTCTTTGGCTCCCATACAGAATGGGATTCATTCCATGCCAGGTAAAATCTCACTTTATGTTGTTATTGAACTTATTGTCATGGAAAAGCACAAAATGCCATCATTATTTTACTGTAGTTCGGTCTCATATTAAAGAATGATGCGTTGCACTTCCTACGGAATTGATTGATGAGAATAGAATTGCTTTCTGCGTGTGTTGGGAGGGGTTGTCAGGGAGGTCTGGTGGGTTTGGTACTTAGAGGGATTGTTTTTTTCAGTTTCAAGTCAAGTAGGATGTTCTTATTGAAAGTTGCCTTCTGCGTGCTGTTTACTGTTTGAGGGGTTTAAAGCTCTCCTGTTTTAGGGATTAAGAATCTTATGAGATAGAAACATCACTTTCATCCGAGGGATTAAAATGATTAGCAGCCTTAGCATTTGTTTATCTTCACCTTGATGAAGACTACATTGCTTTTATATACAAACTGTCTGTGGTACACTATCTCATGATACGGATGGTGATTAATGAAATTTTTGGATGATGCGAATTTGGCAGATACCAAAACTGTGAAAAAATCACCAAGTGTTGCCTTTTCTATCAGATTATTGCCTGGAGGTGATACATATTACACAATACATTTTTTTATCATTTAATACGACCATGAAATATTGCACACTTCTTTTATTCTTATTATTATTATTTTGGAAGTGAAGATATGAGATCTCTCCATTTCCAATTCCACAATTATAATTAAATGAAGCTTATTAGAAGTAAGATATAGGGTTTAACCCTTCTATAGGATCCTAAATAACCATCAGTTCAATAAAATATTGTCTTAGAAATTTGTTTGGAAATGACTGTGGGACTGCCTAATGTTTGTTGATGATAATGTTCATGATCAAGTCCTTTGCATATGTGCTTTTTGTTCTATTTATTTATTTGTTTAGATATTTTCCTTTTGGGAAATTTTTGCAGTTTTAGCTTTTTACTGAATCTCACCCGAGAACTTGAGCTCATATTTTATTTATTCTTATTTTCTGGTCAAGACTGAATTGTTTTCCCATGAATAACTGGGTTTCAAAAGTGTGATCATTGAGTTGATTTTTTGAATAGCAATCCTGTGGCTGAAATTTTTAAGAAAGTCATAATGCGTTTCTTGACTTGTGCTATTTGCATCCCCTTATATCACCCATCTCTTTATCTAATCTATAATTATCCTTAAATAATATCTGGTGATTCCAGCCAGTTCCTTTTGGATTATTTTCTGGGTAGGGTACCTTTGTTTAGTTGTAAGGGACAGTGTAATAGTTGGCAAAGTTCAAATTGTTTGAGAATTGATTTTTCCTATATTTCTTTATTTGAAAAGAAGTAGCATGGGTCTTTTGAGAGAGTATAGAGTTACTCGCGAAGAACGTTGGTTAATAGAATGTTGTCACATTCTTAGATCATTTGTTATCATCATTATTCAGTACCACTTGTTTGCAGTGCAGTTAACAACTTACCTATGGGGTACTTCGTCCAACAGCAACTTTCAGTTCCAGCCACAGGTCATCCTCATATTGATTCCATGGGCTCTGGAATTTCTAGCTGCCATGTGGTTAATGGAGTTCCTGCACCGGGCAATTTCCATCCCATGCGGATGAATTCTGGGAATGAGTGAGAATTCTGTTCCCATCTTCATCTTGTTTTCCTTTGATTAAGCATTTGACAAATGGTGGATTATATCACAAGGCATGCTTCTTCCTCTTTTTCATATATTTTTCACTCTTTGACTATTGATGTAAACTTGGTTTATGTATTTCCACTTTTAGTGTTGTTTCATCCAATTTTAGCATATACCCAACGGAGAAATCTAGTTGACAACACCTTACTTGATGAACCTTATGTGTACACCATGTATGTAAATGTCTGTATAAAAATATTCAAAGCCAGCAGGGGAGGGGGGATAAGGGGGTGTGGAGAGTCAAAACAATCAGGCAAGTCCTCCATCTAACTTTGAACGAGCTCTCATTAACCTAGAGTTGCCCCTGTCCCTTTCCACACCAAACCCTATTGTGCCTTTTGGCCAAACTCCAAATCGGAAAAGAAGGACCTCGAGGAGGAGGAGGGTTGTCGATACGCTATCGCAAGTTATCCAATACCCTTTGATCCCGAATTTCCATGGAATCCACTTCACCCCACCTGCCAGCCCAGAGTAAGGCAGGGAAAACCAATCTCAGAATGGAATTCGGATTCCAGGGCAAATTCCTGTGATTCTTGGTTAGCTGACTAAGGGCACCGTGTTCGGACTGCAGGGGACCGTAGCATGGGGGGACACATGTTTAATGTTATGTTGGGATTGTGGCACTCAACAAGATTCAATGGAAAAATATGCCCTTTGAATCAGTAATATAATCAGCTGAATGGGTTTATTTAACATGCCGTGTAAGAAAGAACCCAGAAAAAAAAAAAAAAGAAAGAAAGAAAATGATTTAATTCCATAACACCTATTACAATCATTTATTTATTTTTTCTTTTTTCATCACAACTTGGGAAAACTCATGACGCCTTTAATGTGAAAAGTAGCCATTTAAGCTGCCATTTCACGCCAATATATTGGCTTGTCTTATTTTATACAGTCAAAAATCTTATTGCTTAACCAAAAAAAAAAAAAAAGAAAGATTCCAGTTTCTCTTTTATCTTCTACTTATGTTGCTCACTCTAGTTCTGCTGATGGCTAGTGTTTTTGTTCTTTCTGAAGTATGGTAATGGGCAGCAATGCAGCAGATGTAGCACCTGCTATTCCACCAAGCAGTGCCATGTCATCTATGTCAGAGATGCCAGTGAGTCAAATACCGGTGGCACCCACTGGGCATTTCCCCTTTACAGCGTCAGAAATGGAAGTAGACACATCAGCACTTGACATAGCATTTACATCAGATGTGGCAAGTTCAGTAGAATTGCAGCTTTCAGCTGATGGTGGGGCTGGGGTTTCTAGAGACTCTTATGGATCTTTGGCTCAAGTTCCTTGGAATTTCAGTCTTTCAGATCTGACAGTAGACTTGTCAAACTTAGGAGGTAATTTGGACTTTATAATTGGCAAGATTCTTGGCTTTTAATTGCCTCTATAATGTGAGTTGTCATGTTGTTTGGCAATGACACCATAACTACCCGCTCTGTTAAATAACTAAACTTTCATATAATTTTTGAACAGTATCCTTGGTACAATTCTTCTGGACCTATAAGCAAATTTTTAAGTCTTCAATAATTCCATGTCTATAGTTATTTTGTAAGTATTAATTGAAGATTTGATATATATAACTTAATGAAAATAAATACGATTAATAGCCGAAAAGTTTTTATTTAGAAGCAACTAACATTTTATGCTAAAAAGAAGGCTGGAGTGTCAACAAGATGCAAGCTTGTTATTTGGAAATATCGACATCTTTGGAAAATTAATCATGCTTGTTACTACCTTGTCTTTCTAATAAAACATAGTTATTGCTAATTCATCTTATACAAATCCCTTCACACACATTCAGATTCTTTCTATTAATAGACTTGCCCTAGCCTTCTGAACAACATACGATAGTTTTATCATGGTGATGGCATTCTAAAATATTTTAGATGATAGTGGATTTAAGCAAATGCCATGTCCTACGTGCATGGAGACACATAGTATTAGTTAAGACTAGATCTGAATATTAAAAGAAGTGTAATGCTGCTTTAGCTTAGCCTTCATTTTATAATGTTTTCATTGATTGTACTTGATGCCTTCAAATTGTTTGCAGATCTAGGAGCCTTGGAGAACTATTCTGATTCCCCATTTCTGCCTTCTGATTCAGATATTTTACTTGATTCGCCAGAGCAAGATGACATAGGTAAGCAGATTGGAATTTTGTTTAGGTTTCTGGGGCATTTGAGTGAAAATGATTAGATTTTGAGGGAATGAAGGGCTAACTTTCTGTTTCAGGAGATTTATTTCCTTGCACTTAAAAGAAATGTTTAGAAGCCGCTCAAAGGTTGTAGAAACAACAACATAGCCTAATGTCACACTTAAGTCGGGTTGGATATTTAGGGTAGTAAAGAGCATCAAAATAATAAATCAGAACCAGATCTTCGAAAATTAAAAGATACCAATACTTCAAAATATAGAATTTTTCCCTGAAGTGATCTAATGAGATAAATATGGTACAAAGATTACTTCTCAAAAAAAATATATATGGCAGAAAGTTTAGACATCCCTATTGGTGGTACGTATTATAAATATACTGTTAGATGGGAATGGAAAACAGTTTCTCTTTGGATTTCTATATGATATTACCATAGAATTCATCTTGCTGGAACCATTATGTGTCATTTATTGATGACATCCAATTTACTCGGTTCTCTATGTGAAAATGAATCAATGCCTAGTTTGGTACGCAGGAATGGAATGGAATGGAATGCCCATTCCAACCATTTCTTTATTTGGTATGAAATTTAAAGTGGGAATGACCATTCCCAAGTAAAACTTAAAAAAAAAAAACAAAATTCCAATAAACGATCATGTTCCAAGTCCAAAAACCACCATCCCCACCTTCTGCAGCCGCCACCGCCTTCCGCCTTCCACCACTGCTACCACATTCTATCACCACCACGACCTAGAATGGTGATTATCATTTTATTCCTACATCCTTTCATATTTGCAACCAAATATAGAATGAGAATGACTATTCCATTCCCATTCCTATTTCATTCCATTTCTGCGTAACAAACTAGTCCCAAATGCTTAAAAAGAGAAATTTTTACCATAAATGAAATGTAAAATGTAAATTGTAAAATGTTACTTAACTTTATTTTCAATACACCATCAGTGGAAAAAATATTTAGACAAGCACTCTATTTGCCCTAATGCTGTCAAAAGACTAGCAAAAGTAATTTAAGCATATCCTACTTAACATTATGTCGTATTCTTCCTGATTTCCAGAATTAAAATCGTGTAGAAGTTTTCTTTTGACATGTATGTAACATCGACCAATGAAATTCCTTAAACAGTGGTTAGTTATTTTATGCTCAGGTCCTCATTATACACCTCAAAAATTAATTGACATGAATGGAAGCCGCTAAAGAAAAATCTCCTATATAAACTTATTTCTTTTTGTCACACAATTTTTGTGCCACCTGTATACATTTTTTTCACATTGGTGAATAATTTAAGGAAATTATCAAAACAGTAAGAAACAAAGAGAAAGAAAACTCTTATTGTTTATTGTCTGCGCTCATCTTTATTCCCAGTAAAGTGACTGTGTTGATTTGTTATTGTAAATATTTGAATTAGAGTTGAATATTGGGTCAGATAATGCTTTTATATCTGAATTTTAATAATTGAAAAATTAAGCATTTTGAAGTGGAAGTCTTTATTTCCTCTTATGGGGTCATTTTTGGGTCCATTGGGTCTCCAGTTTTAAATAACACGTGTTGGTGACAGTTAGGTGATAGATCTATTAAGACTTTTTATATCAGTCACACATCATGGTCTCTTTGCATATCAACTTTTATTGTCCATGAGCGATATCCCACTCTATAATCCCGCCTAAAATTTCACTTTCTTCTTTTTTCCCCCAGTAGAGGAGTTCTTTGCTGATTCTGTCCCTGGCCCACCATGCTCTCAATCAGATGAAGAGAAGTCCTAGATTTAAGGTGAGGCCTTTCCATCTCTTTTAATTATTTAGGGTAGGATAAGGTGGTTGTACAATAAAGAATAAAAGAAAATAATGAATCATCAGTTTCCTTCACTAGTAATTTCAGGGTCTTAGTTATTAATGATTTTGAAGAGTTGTGCTTTGTAGTGATGTTGTTGCACTTCAGGTAGTATTTATGTTATATTAGTTTCATTTTTCATAATCCTTGGTGTTATGATGGATACTGAACACAACAATCATTTGGAAAGCACAAGAATCTTACCATGTATTCTTTTCCCCGAAAAGGGGAAAAAAGAAAGAAATAAAATCTTTGAGTTGGTACATTCTAAGATCTTTAAATTTTGACCCATGGAGGAAGTACATGCAAGCACATGATGCGCATTAAAAAATTAGATTGATTTGTTCACCAATGATAAAGTTTGTTTGAATAAAGCACGAAAAGTTGAAACTATTTAGTGCATTTGTTAGCTTGACCGGGTGAAGAATCAGTGTATTACGAGTGACAATTCTCATTTATTACTTGATTTCTGCCCAGTATCCATTTAGTGGAGAACATTTTTTTTTACGAGTGACAATTGATTCCGTGTGATTGTATAGGGTAATAATTGTTTAGATTCTTTATTCATATTTGGAGAGAGAGCTCCACTCCATTTTGTACAAAGAATTGGTTGATATTACTTTTGTGTGATAACTTTTGTAAAGTTTACAATAAGTACCAAGTAGTCTAGCTATTTTACTGCAATTGCAGCATGTGGTTTCTGCTGCAGCTGCACCAAGAGATGATGTTGAAACTTTTGATCATAAGCTATCAAAAAAACCATGAGATTTTGCACCAGTAGTTGGTTACCGGACGTGTGTGTGTGTGAGAGAGAGAGAGAGAGAGAGACAGGTTTGATTTCGTAAATGGAATATATTATTTATTAACCGCCATTCTGTTTATTCTTTTTATTTTTCCATACATCCCAAGAGAGCTGATTCTCCATAAAATACTTACTGGTAATTCATAAGTACCATTTGATGTTTTCCTTAATCATCAACCAATCACCGCAACTCTTTATTTTGTAATACTTGTAGTTTTTTGCAGTGAAACTCTAGCCAGCAACAGGAACTAACCTTGGAAAGAAATCCTGCACAACAAGATGAGATAGTTTCTTTAATATTTGTAAGCATGCATGTGTGTGTGGTTGAGAGAGAGAGAGAGAGAGAGAGATTTACGTGGAACAGTCATAGTTTTTGTCTATAGGAGGAAGATTAATAGACAAGTTACACTTTTTGGGGAGACTAGCAATGCGAGAAGGATCATAAGATCCAATGGCAGGCAATATTTGCTTTATGCAATTGCAGATAGCTACGCGGTCTGGTTTGGCTTTTGCCAAATCATTTAGGTCCTTAGCACCTTTACAACAATTCTTGGATGGGTTGGTGCCACCTTTTATGTAGGTCAAGCACGGCGTCAGTTTATTGACGACAGTTGGGCATGAAGGTGCAGTCATGGCTGACCTTGAGACTAGTAAGAAGATTGCAAAAAACCCTAGTATGCGAATCATGATTGCTCTGGGAAGAACTTCGGAGTCTCTGCGAAAGCTTCAATACTAGTTGTAAGGATGGGAGTTATATATAGAGGCAGGCTTTGGGATATGGTTTGTATGTTATTACTCTAATTGTTGCAGATGTGGTCATTAGTTTTAAAGTGATTCAGGCTGAAGCTCCAAATGGAATTTTCATGTCAGAATTCTGTTACTGATTCCACTGTTGCACGTAATTTCATCATCTTGATTCGTTCGACTGAGTTTTGGAAAAGCTGGAAGAAAAGAAAGAGGGGGATAAAACCATTGGGAGATAAAAGGAAAAGAAAGGAAACAATTTTCTTTCCTCAATATAGAAAAAGAGTAATTGAATGTCTTACTATGGAACTAATATATTTTCTTATCTATTTTTTTCCAGGTCTTGTGTCTAATGCAACAATTTTACATTGTGAATGCAACAATTGTTCAAATGTGTTAAATTTATGGTTTAATGGTGTTATGTTAGAACTTTGTAACTAGATATAATATATTGCATGGATGTTGTATCTTCAATATAATTGTGTTGCACTATGATACAAGTGCGTGCAGAATAAGTGTACGTAATTCCTGTATGAAAGGAAATAAGATGGAGGAAAAACAAATAATCACTAACTTCTCGTTTCAATTATGAAACGAACTCCTTTCCTTGGATGGGAATGCATTATTGGGGATGCTACCAAATTTGATGATCTTATTTGGAAACTAAAATGAAGTTGGAAGAAAGCAATTTTGTTTTAGTGAAAGAATAGTGTAATCAAAAAGAAGAAACATACATCAGCTCAATGGCTTGTTTGGATGCCCCCATCGAAGTCAAGGGTCCATCCAGTAAAGACTAAAGAGAGTCCAATGATCCAAGTTATGACTGACTACTCTGAAAATTAACAGAAGAATGATGTAGAACGAGTATGTTAGCTCTACAGTTTCACACATTGTCAGTGAAATTATCCCCCATTGACCACTCTCTCAAGATTTTTGGTTTCCATTAAAGTTAATTTTTATGTAAAATACTTGCCTATAATAATAATTAGTGGAGAGATTTTTACCATCTTAACAATTTGGATTGACCTCATAAAATAATTATTTTTTGGTTAAATTTACTATGCAAGGCTTCGACGAGTATATGTAACTTTTAAAATTTTTTTTTTACCTTGACAAGAATTTCATACATTCATTTTGCTTTTATGAGGACTTCAACCGTAATCCTTCCATTTTAAGAGGAGAGTACTAGGCTATCTGATTAAACTCATTATTATAGGCATTAATTTTTCGTGCATCGCAAACTTTTTTATCCCTATGTATAGCCCCAAGTATTGGAATCCTTTGTTGCAATAGCCCTGCTTTAGCGGTGATGTAAAATTTTTCAACACATTTAAATCCATTTTTAATACATTTGTTTTAGATTTCAACATATTTATTTTAGTTTTCAACAAATTTTCTCAGTGTTGAAAATTGTGCAAATGTGTTAAAAATATATTTAAATATATTGAAATCTGTTTTCAGTGTCACTATTTTTACCGTCAATGCTAAATAATGTTTTAACACATTTGTCCTTTGTATTGAAATTGGTTTGAAATAAGATTTAAATGCTCAGTGGTGAACCTATCCCAAGCCCCAACGGCCTAACCCAAGTATAAGCCCAAATGCTTCAGTTTGAATATTATTATCCCTAACGGGCCGAAACTATCCAAGCCCCAACGGCCCAACCCGTATGGCCCAAACAATTCAGTGGTACAATTCTAATATAAACCCATCGCTTACATATTTTAAAGGAATATTCGGAGCTCCTGATTGATTATCGTTCTGGAAAGTAGACTTGTCATTGATTTCATTCCGATTATTTAGATATGGATTGAATAAAATATTTGATAACTTGATAACGATTCGAATCTGATAAACTGTTAACTTAACAAATTAGATATAAATTAAGCTAATGCAATTCATTAATAATTCAATCCGATTATAATAGTATATATATTTATATACATCAACACCATATTTGTATTAGATGTAATGACAAAAAAGGAATCACAATGCTCCAGGTACATATATTAGGGTGTTCTCACCCATAGAGTAATAAATCTTCTAAGTATCTATCACTGATTCAATTGATACCAGACACGAGAAAGAAAATTTGTATTCGGCTTGAAGACTTGAGAAAAACCATGAGTGAAAGCAGAGTGATGGTATGATAGATCGATGGCAAGAAGCAAAAAGGGAGAGTCAGCGATCGATTGTCAAACTTTGCGGAGTAATTTATTCTATTTTTTCTTTTCTTTTTTCTATCACCGATCAGGTCACCATTCTCACCATATCTTTCCCTCTCTCTCAATATATATATATATATATATATATATATCTATGTAGGTTTTTATATTGATCGGCATTAATCTTCATCTTCATCGAAATTTCCTTCTCAGATCTTCTAATTCTTACCATTAAATTTACCCATCGCAAGTATATGTTTATGTAATTATCGATTTAATTAGGGTTTTTTTTGGGACTTCTTTGAAGGTGAATTTGGTAATATATTATTTACCTTTGTTTTTTTTATTATACTGATTATTTTTGTAGTGCTCCCACCATTTCCTTCTTTCCAGATTAATTTGTGTGTGTGTGTATATATATATATATATATATTTATATGTAATTTGTATCTTTTAGTCCTTCCTTCAACTCAGTGAATGTATTTTGAATGGAGATTGCAGATTAAGAGAGAGATTGACACATTGAAGCTCCTCAAACATCCAAACGTCGTCAGATTACATGAGGCCAAGAAGCTCAGATCATGCAAACCCTAATTTTTCATCTTTCAAAGCAATTCCCCCACTTAAATCCAACAAGGAATCGTGAGGCCAAGAAGCTCAGATCATGCATTATATTTAGTAAGGTCTTATTTACTCATTTTGTAGTTCTTTGTTACAGAAACTGATTTATCTTCTCTTTTCTTACCCTAATATTGGATCAATTTGCTTAATCTCTTGTGTCTAAATTGCAAAGGGGTATAAGTGATTTGTCGGATCGGACATCCGATAAAGTGGATACCGGATATGGATTGACTATGCAAGAATCCGTCGGATTATCGGATCGGATCGCTTAATATGCTTATCGGATTCGGATCGGATTGACTCTGATCCGGTCCAGATCCGATCCGTTGACAGGTCTACAAGTGGGAAGAGAGAGGGATCTATATTTTCTACGGCTTGGATTCAGAAATCGATTAACCTAAGGGAGATAGGATTCTATAAACTTTCTAGGGTTTATATATCATAGTAAGATTCAGGAATCGACTGGTTAATCTGTCATTGATATAGAGAGAGATTTGATTATGGCGGAGATCTATCAAGTATTGGTGAGACTATTAGACGGCAAGCACAGAATCCTCAATTTCGCGTCTCCATCAATATCAGCCAACTCTATCAAACACCGTCTCTGCGAGATCACCACCATCCCTACCCAAAATCAACGGCTTCTATCTAACGGCCGGCAACTCGAAGACCAAACCCTAATTACCGACGATGGCACCCGCTTGTTCCCCACGGTGCACCTCCTCCTCCGCCTCCGCGGTGGCAAGGGCGGCTTTGGCTCGCTCCTCCGTGGCGCCGCCACCAAGGCCGGACAGAAGAAGACCAACAATTTCGATGCTTGTCGTGATATGAGTGGACGGCGGCTAAGGCACGTGAACGCTGAGAAGAAGCTGGAGGAGTGGAAGGCGGAGGAGGAGGAGAGGCGGCTCGAGAAGATCGCCGAGGAGTTTATCAAGAAGAAGGCGAAAACGGTGAAGAAGGCTGGAGGATCGGGGGAGGCGGATAAATATGTGGAGCAGTATAGAGAGGAATCTGCCAAGTGTATGGAGGAGGTAGATAGATCAGTGAGAGAATCCATTTCCGGTTTGGTGAATTCGAAACGCAAGGCTGCCGGGGTGAATGGATCGGAAGGAAAACGATTGAAGATATGGTAATGATTAGGCTCTAGACTTATTAATTTCTATGTTATTACTTATTTTAATATAAGAAATGAAATTTGAATTTTTGCATCAAGAGATTCTCGGTTAATTTGAATTAATATTGGCAAATGTTTTGTTTGGTTTCTGAGAAATCTGCTTTTTTGATCTGTAGGCAAATAGTTGAATGAAGCTCATTTGTGGGTTTTCCTTTTTGATTTTTTTTTTTTTTTTCCAAGACCTATTTAAAGTAAGGGGGAGCTCCAACCAAATATGCTTAGCTCAACCAATTGGGATAGTTATGTTGAATTATCTTCCTGACATTAACTGTAGCTTATCATAGAATATAACTGAAACTTTATCAGTCAAAATTTTGTTTTCATTTTGTTAGGATGGGAAAGAGAAAATTGGGTGAGAATGATAGCGACTGTGATGATATGGATGAGGATGACAGCTCTGATGATGAGGAGGAAAATGAGAAGTCTATCATTATTAATCACATGAATCATTCATCTTCGAATAAGGAAGCAGAAGGAAGTCCTGGCTCTGTTACTGGTGGGAAACTTGGTGGAGAATCTTCCGATGGGATTTCATCTGAGAGCGGTTCTGAGGGTGAGGGAACTGTGGTAGCAGGAGATTTGGAATCAAATGGAAGTCCTTGTGGAGATGCAGCTCACAGTGAAGGCAATGTGGCTGCTGACCTAGATTTAGAGGTTCATGAAGAAAAGATGGATATACCTTTCCAGGAGCGGGCAGTAGTTTCTGCAACTGAAGCATTTCAGCCTGAAAAGCAAGAATCTGATGGATCTGTGTTTGGGAATGTGGAGGGAAGTTTTGGTCAACCATCTATAACTTCGAGCTCTGCAGAGGCGGCGGATTTTTCAAGCGGAGAAACTGATTCAGAAATTAACTGGGATTCGGAATCCAAATTAGTAGTTCTTGAGGAAACAGTGGTCACAAGCACAAATGTGTCTGATATAGAGAAGCCATTGAACTTCGATGACTATAGTTCTGAAACAGAAATGGAGGTATGCTCCCGATGATCAATTTTCTAGTGCTACTATTTTCATATATTGGTGTTAAATTTTGTTGTTTGATTTATTTTCTTTTCTTTTGCCACTCCATCTTTTGAAACTTATCCAGTTTATTAATCAAATTTATTTCTCAAGAAGCTGTAATTTATTTTGATTGAGAACTACATTTACCTCTCCTTTCATCCCTGTCTGATAGAGGCAGTTGGCAGTAATTGAGTTATACATCTTAGCCCTTGTATTTATGTAGCTTTTTTCTAGTATAAAAGTTAACTAATTTTAGAAGTACAAAATTTCTGTAAGTGGGCAAAAGAGAGGATCCTTTCCGCCTGCTACCATGGTATTCTAATAAGTCCACCCGATAATCTCTACCATCACCATTTTTCTCAATTTTGGTAATAACCATTTTCACATTGATTAGTACCAGTCCATGACCATAGCACTATGAGCCCCCACCTTCATCAAGAATGTGAGAGAGATGGAGAGAGAACACAAAATATTTATCTGACAACAACAATGAGATAGAAGCCCCTCTACAGTGACTAAGGAGGAAAGGGGACAATGTCACAACTTTCATCAGCCACAAAGTTGATCAATTGACCATTGCTGCCACAATGTTAAATCTATTCGCTCGTCTTTCACACACACAAAAATATCTGTGAAAAAGAGAATCCAGAATCCATCTTCACTATTTTTCATTCATAATTAATACAGCTGCAATTGACTGTTGATGAGCCTAGTAGCACCACCACAATCTCCATAGTGCGGTTTATTAGGAGTTGTTTCCATTTTAGTATCTTTTCTAACTGTGTGTTCTTCTTCCCAATAAATTTCTGTCTCTAATCCAGTAATTAGAAAAAGTAAGCTTACATAACTCTTAATTTGTTTCTAATCAAAACCTACCTTGCAAATTGATTTGATTACAGAAAAATTCGATAAGCACCAAGCAGTGTGAAAGAATTCTCAATCTTCAGTGGAATGTAAACACAAATTTTAATCACAAACTCAAATTTGAAAACCTTAAATTATTTCGAATATCTTATTTCTTCCATCATTACTGATTTGTCATTTGGATTGACTAACTTATAGAACTACTTTCTTTCCTTTTTTATTTGATTGAATACGCGGGTTGTGGTCGTGGTTGTGGTCCACTATTGTTGTTATGGGCCTAAGATGCTGATAAAAATTGGCAGGCTTACCTGTGGTTGATGAATCTGTGAATTGTCTATTGGTTTGAGCAGCCATTGTGTTTAAGGTGTTGGTAGGTGGAGGAGACATTTGGATTCCAGAAATAATTTAAAGGGTAAATTATCTATGGTGACCATGCCAAACAATTGGTGTGGTTGAGATATTGTGAGTTGTGGTTGTGTCGGTAGACTTTGTGATGCTTATGGTAGTAGATTGGTAGATGTAGGAAAGGAATTTATTTTGGGTGGTGTTAGATAAAGGTGATATTTGGGGAGGCGGGTTATATAGTTCATTGAGTTAACTTGGTTTGAGGGTTTGAGTTAAATAGGATTTATACTGGGTTTGTGTGAGGGTTGATTGCGACTCGTCAAGTTAAATCAGAATTTCCATTCTCCCTCTCACCGAGGGCACAATAGACGTTTGCCTTTCTTTTTATGGGAAAAATTGATTATGCATTTTTATTACTAAAAAAGAGGTAAAATAGGTATTTGGATATATTAAATGATGACATCATTATAGTCCGTTGCTCACATTCTCATGCATTGTCCTATGGCAAGGGATTGTTGGAATCTTATCTTTTGTCTGTTTGGTATGCGTTGGGTTATGTCTTGTTATCCTAAGGATTTGATTTGTATATAGAGAGAATGCCGTGTGAGTAGTGCTGTTCGCGATTATTGGAGAGTCGTACCACATTGTGTTTGGTGGTGTATTTGGAAGGAGAGGAATAGTAGAATGTTCGAAGGGAAAGAATCGTCCACGGCGATTCTGAAACTTCACATCATACGCTCTCTTTTCAGTTTTGTGAAGAGGAAGTCCTGTTCTTCTTTCGAAGATTTAATTATTTTTTTGGCTTCTTTGGGATCTTAATTCCTAGTTCCACTTTTGTATAAGGGATGCGTTCCCCTCTTGAACTCCTATTTTATTTCAATTAGTACTTATCAAAAAAAAATCACTATAGTCCGGTCATATTTTTTTAGATAACACGGAGGTGTCCACCCCTCTGGGGCAGGAATAAAATACACAATTGCAGAGGGACCCACTCCCTGTGTGTATCAGGTATGTAGGTAATAGTCAAATTGAGATATTTGGGCACAAAGCAAATATTAAATGGAAGGTAAGTGTGTTCTTGTCCCAAACAATAGGAGATGTCATTGTGGTTATGCCTAATCTCAAGAGGAGAGTAGGGAGAACAGATAAAATACACTTTTGGATTATGTTATCTGCTTAAACACCAGGTGGCTGATTCTCTTTCAATATTAAGTTGAATGATTCCTTGTAAGGGAAGGATCATTGTATGTGATGATTGCTTTTATTTGAAAAGTGGAATATGATTTGGAACACTTAACTTCAATTTGTTGTGTTATTGTGCTTTTAATTTGAACAGTCTAATTTCATAAATTTGCAACCAAAATTTTGGCCTGTGTCATCATTCATCTTATCATCATAATCATTGTCTTATTCCATTGTGTATAAAACTGAAGGTAGGTTTTGGCAACAACAACTAATATTATTGTATTTTTTTCCAACGGAATTATAGGTTCTTGGCATGGAAAGATTGAAATCTGAGTTGCAAGCTCGGGGGCTTAAATGTGGGGGTACTTTGCGAGAGCGAGCTGCCAGGCTTTTCCTGCTCAAGACCACGCCCGTGGAGATGCTTCCAAAAAAGCTGCTTGCCAAGAAATGAGGTTTTCTAGTATGCTTCATCTGACTTGGTTCTATTTTGTGTCGATTTGTACAATTAGTGAGATCCATGCTGAAGTGTGTATCGTTTGTTGTACTACTGGTTATTAGTTGATACTCCTGCTGTAAAGCTGCAACTCTGTGAAACAGTTTAATGAGATTTTCCTCATTATGCCTTGAAATTCTCTGACATAATGAATATATGTATAATTAGCAATGGCACAACATGATCTTTACTTGCTATTCTTTGTTTATAGTTAAGTAAATCTTTAGAGAATGGGAAGGAATTTGCCACTATAAGCACTGGGGATAAAAAAAAAGTGAATTTTCTAACAGACGATTAACATGATTCAAGTGTCATTTGTAATATCACAGTATCTGAATCTCTATTTAGTGTTAAATGCTTAATTGTTGCACAGGGGCAGCAACTTGGGCGGGCTAACCCAAGCCCAACCCAGAAATTTTGAAATTGGAGTTTATATTCACAAATCGGGTTCATGTTCGGATTGGTTTTTGCCAAAACCCAGACAAATTCAGGTTGGGCTTGGGCTCAACCTGAACCAAACCCAAAACCCAAAATAATTTTTATTTATTATTTATTTATTCTCTCTCTCTCTCCCCCTGCCGCCGTTCATGCACTTCTCGCAATCCTAAAACGAACGGCGAAGCTTCTGATTGGGTTTTGTCAAAACCCAGACAAATTCAGGATGGGCTCGGGCTCAACCTGAACCAAACCCAAAACCCAAAATAATTTTTATTTATTTATTTTTTTTTTTTTTTTCTCTCTCTCTCTCTCTCCCCCGCCGCCGTTCATGCACTTCTTTGCAATCCTAAAACGAACGGCGAAGCTTGAGAGTTGAGAGGGGGGCATGCTTGAGAGTTGAGAGACAGCAGCTGAAGCTTGCAAACGGCGAACCCGAATTGGAACAACGGGCAATGGAAACCGAAAGAAATGGGTTTTGATTTTTTGAACAATCTGAAATGATATGCGGATATGGGTTTTGATATAGGTAATAAGTTTTGAACTTTTGATTCTTGCAGACGGATAGATAAACTGAAATATATGGGTTTTGAACTTCTAATTCTTGTTGATTTTGTAGTTTGTAGTTGCACAGAGAGAGAGAGAGAGAGAGAGGGAGCAATTTCAGAGTTGAGAACGAGAGGCTTGACTGATTTTGCTGCTATAGCCAGCTAAGCGAGCGAACGACAAAGTCCTTTCTGACCCGAGCGTATCCAAACCCCTCATAAAGGGCTTCGTTCAAACAAGAATCTTGATCTGTATGGGCCAATTTTCGACGACAAATCTTAGTCTTGATACTGGCTTGGCACTAACAGTCAACTAGTCGGGTTGCGGAGCTCCCCAACCCTAGAAATATCCCCACTTCCGATGAACATCATTATTCTGCTTTACGGATTTATTCAATTGAAATGCAAGTGGAATGAATTTCTCGATGAGATGGAGGCGATTTGGGAGGCTAAAATGATTTGCCCTAAAAATATATATATTTTTAATAATAATATAATTAAATGTATATAATATATATAAATTTCTAAAAAAAAAAAAAAAATTATTTAAAAAAAAAAAACCTCAACCCATCAACCAGACCCAACCCGTCCGAAAATATTCGGTCTGGGTTATGACCACAACCCATATTGAGTACAATTCAGGCTGGCCCAAATCAACCCGATTCGGGTTGGGGTTGATGTTGGGGCTGGGTTGGGTTGGGCCAGCCCAACTTGCAGCCTAATTTTAAGTTATCACGGTTGGATTGAAAAAAACATGCTAATAAAATATTAATGTCTATAGGGTAAAATAGATTGTGATTACAACTTGAAAATTGAACATGTGGATTTCCCACAGAAAAAGAAAAAGAAAAAGGGGGGCCCTACAATCGCTATACAACAGAAAAGAACACAAGCAAGAAAGTAATAGGACATCAAACATGGTGATGAGCAGGAGGGGATGGAGAATTTCTGCAAACAGGGCATGTGCCGGTCATCCGAAGCCACTCGTCAATGCAATGAGCATGGAAGCAGTGTTTGCACTCAGGTATACACCTGACTGTCTCTTTGGGGCTGTAATCTGACAAGCATATTGGGCAAGTGTTATCATTTGGCCATGGAAGGCGTCTGCTCTCACCGAGGACTACTTTGGTATAGGACTCAATGGTTGATTCATCCAAGCCTGTGGATAAGTTGGTTGATTGCGGTGTTACTGCAGCTATGGTGAGTGTGGTATTGGTCGCAGGACTGCGTAGATTTCTGTCGTCCATGCAACACATGAAAAATGCAATACCAAATGCACATGTGATGGATGGAAGGACAATGACCAAGGCAATGATGCTGAAAACTCTGAGGCTGTTAGTCCTACCTGGAAATGAAGAATAACATTAGACTTGTCCAAAATTTGATCTTCATGATTTTATTGTCATATATGTTCACCATTCTGTTATGGTATCAGATGTTCTTTCTCTGATAGTGGGAACGCAAAATTATTATTATTATTATTTTGGGATATCAGTAAGACCATATCTCCATGTTGCACACTGATAAAGATGTAAAAGCATTCATACGCTAGCATGCTCTGTGAGTACTTGTTATCAAAGTGGAACACTTATTGTTGACAATGTAGCTCACATGTGGTGGTGGCTAAGCCATATTGCTGTAGTTTACTATAAAGTTTGAATCACGGCAAACAAAACCAAATCCAATTTCAATGAAGAAACACCAGTGGTTTGAGCCTCGAATATTCTTAACTGGTGCAACGCGATCTTTCTTTATTTAGTCTCTCATTAAAGAATAAATCCCTAGACAACCAGGGAGTATATTTTCTTTTGTATCCGAATTGGGAGGTGAAACCGTAGAGGAGATATATCCCGGAGAATATATATGTTTATAAATGAAAGTAGATTTCAGTGGTAAATAATGTTCATTCTACGTTTCTACTGCAGGCAGACACGCATCCATGGATTGTTTTATTTTTTACCTTGGGAGTGAAATGAGAGGTAAATTGAAGAGAGAGACTGAGAGTAGGTTGTTCAAATCGAAAGTCAGCTTTGGGCTGTGCAAAGGGTTTACAAATACAATAGTAGTTTAATACTATAACAAGTAGCTCAGCAAGCCATTCGGATGGGGAAATGAGATACAGTAGACTAGTTAAACAATGGATTTGGTCGAGTTGACATTGTTTATGTTAGTCAACTGTGTTATCTTCCAAAACCTGTAGCCCGTAGTTGAATATGAAAAGCATATCTTTGATCAAGTCAAAGTACCTTTAACTAATATAAGATTATTGTATGTCATCTGCTTTATCGTTCTAACATTGACCTCTACATAACCAACAAATTACTTAATTCTCAAGTTAATCTCGACCTTTATCAGTTCTTCAAATATCTCAATTGAGCAGTAATGGAGTTGTGAACTATTAATTTTGTGGTATGGACATAAAAAAACCCAAAGAATAAGAGAGCTCATTACCTGTCCTGGAACTGTAGAAACATGTAATTTCTAGGCTTGTGTCGTTCTCTAACCCGCACATGCCGCCTTGTGCTTCACAATCTTGACAATAAGGCACATTCCATGTTAACTGAAGATCGTCACTGAGGTTGGATGAAAACCCATCCTGATATTGAAGTGGCCTCGATACTGGAATCGGCAAAGCAGCCATTATCTTGCACTTGGTCATCGATGTTACAAGAGTCAATGAAGATGTAGCTAAAGTAGTGTTTGTGGAATTACTGAGGCAATCGATGGAAGTGAATCGAGACCTCGTGAGCTCAGATGGGCAGCTAAGGAAGGTGTAGTTCTGATAATAAGAGGGGCTGAAAGGACAACCTGAAAGATTGATGTCCAATAGCCGTCTTGGGAGGCAATTATATGGATCGTAGAGTTGTATTTCTTGTGCCTGGTAGTTGATATCGCGTACCAAAAATTCTCCTGAATAAGGAAGATTTAGAACCGTGACACCCTGACTACTGCAGCTCAGATCGAATCCGGGATAGCTACAGTTTTGAGACTCCTGGCCTTTTAGCTGGAAAGGAAATCGAATACTGAAGCTGCTGTTGGCACACATGGAAGTTTGTGGGCAATGATTTGTTGCGTAAATAACAGGAGAGAGGAAGAAGAAGAAGAGGAGGAGGAGTTTCAAGACACCCATATGTTCAAAAGTATTGATTGCAAGGATGGGCAGGTTTAGGAAGCAAAAGGAATAGCTTGATCTGATACTCCACCAAACAATTATGCTATTTTAAAGTCAAAAGTTCACACCCAACTTGCACCCGTAACATAGACCATTTAAGTAACAGTTTGTATATTTAGTTGTGTGCGCTCAGGGACCAAATGGAAACACCATGGATGTAAGAAGTTTCATTTTATTTATTTCTTTCTATTGCATCTTGAGGTACATAACTACCCTTTGAATTCAAGCACGAAATTAGCTGTATCTGCGTAGTTGAAGGGAAAAAAACAAAACAAAACAAAGAAAGAAAGAAAAAATCTAGAGGAAAGTGGATCTAGTTTTTGCTATTAATTTTAGGGATATGAACAGAATTACAGGAGCTGCTGAGAGATTCGGATGGAAACAGCTTCCCCATCAGCTTCATCTCTCATGGCATGGTATTTTACGTGAAGGCCTGCTTCAAAAATGAAAGAAAAATAACGAAATAGTTATTTATAATATAAAATTTCACAATTGCATTTAAAAAAAAAAAAAAATTCACAATTGAGCTTCATTGTAGAGTTGCAGACTGATTTATAACCATTTAAAGACAATTCAGGGAAGTGCCAAATATCTGAATGCTCAAGACTTGTAAAATAGTGATTCATATAAGATTTTCAGCGTGATGGGCGAGAGGATAAAGGATGCAAATACTGAGGAGGTGTTTTTTTACCTTCATTTTCCTGCAAATTGGTATTGACGGCGACTGCATGGAGTGATATCATAGCTTTCGGCTGCCAGTCTTTGGGTTTCCCTACCCATGACTTGAGATCAAATACCTCTGCCATACCATTTGGAAATTAGAGGATCATTTCATATCTTAAATATCAGGAACCAACCAAACATTTCACCAACATATCACTTGCCACTGTAGGAAAGTGAATGGGGTGATCAGTAGTAAATCAGATCCCTTCAATATTTTTTTAATTCATCAATTCTTATGTGTGACAGGTGCATATCAATTGATTGCATTCTCTTTTCATCATGGAATCCTCATGCATATATTTCTGGCTTTCAGATCATAATGCTGGACAATCACATTCAATTTACATTTCTGAAAGAAAAAAAGAAAAAAAGTATCTATTTACATTTCTGTGCTAATACCCAGGAACTTTTGAATGCCTTCAAGCCGCATGACTGAGACAATGACAATCCTAATGAGATTAAAACGTTATAAATTTACATGTTCTCGTGAAAATTTATCAGAAAGAATTTCTCTAATGGTCCATCAATGATTAAGAATTCTTTAGAGTTAAAAGGGTAACAGAAACCTCAAGTTATAGAACAACCATTTTAATTACAGCCTTAAGTTTAGAAGAACAAGTTCTTTTTTCTCGTCTTAAGTGCTTTCAGCAATATCATAGAATATTTATATTTACATCCCGAATCCTGAAACATCTCAAATTTCTTGTCATACCGTCCATGAAGATGAAGTATTTTTCTATTTTATTCTTTTCTTTTCTTTTTAACACAAATCCTAGGTTTGTTTTAAGAATATGAGGAATCACAACAATTATATCATTATGCTCCCCATTAAACTTCTGTATACGAGGGATCCTCTTAAGCAGTCCTCTTTCTTAGGCCTTATGGATGTTGATCACAGTTTCAATTTTTTTCCACTTAACAGAAAAAATGCTATAGAATATAGTATGTTAAACTAGCCATGGAATAAGAAAATTACCAGATGTTGAGGGATCCTTGAGGTGTTTAATGTCAAAAATGGCACCACAAGCTCCATCTATATGCTTTTTGACATCATGGGATCCTATCAGCTTGTACTCCCAGCTCCCGTCCTTGTATTTGTCATTCAGGAAGAGCTCCATATGCCTTGCATCCAGTGTCTGCATTGTTCCTGCATAGAGTCAAGTTTAAATTTTTCGTCTATATGTCCCTCAACCTTCATAGGTGAACCTTCTGAGTTTTGTGTTCTTAATGGAAGAATGTAACATACATCCATAATTGGAAGTTGTTTATGTGGAATATTTTGGTCATTAAACCAACTAAACGAGCAGGAACATTCAAATAGGTGCATCATCTCTCTTTACTATGTTTGGTATGATTCACGAAACTGTTAACATTGAGCAGGAGAATGCTATTTCTTTCATCAATGCAGAAAAAAAAAAATGTAATTCACTCCAGATTGAGTGATTGCCATTTTCAATGCATTGAGTGATTAGAACACGAAGTGGAACTAACTCTTACCTCCTTAATCACATCCATAATCACTAATAATGTCTATTGATCTTAATTAAAATACTCATTCAAGTACATTATGGACAGAAGAAGGCAATTCCATTGCTCACCATCACATGTATTGAGGTCACAAACAGGGCATCGAACAAGCTGTAAATCTGAAAACATGCTCCTGGTCAGAATACAGTTAAAGGGATGGTAATGAATTTCAACATATTGACCCGGCCTAAGGAATTTCCAGGACAGTGAAGTGTACCAGCAATCCAGATGCCAGATTTAATGTTGTTTAACACGCAAAAGCCATTCGACTGCAACATTTTATCTAAGCCTTCTTCTATTGGAATTTTTGCTGGAGCAATCAGCTTCTCTGTCAGGAATGCAACTGGTGAGTCAAAGAAAAATGCCCCGATCCGCATCCAATCTGGTTGATCCATCAAAAAAGAAAAGAACATTTATGTGTCTGGAGTTCAGACATGAGATATTACATGGAATGTATTTATTTTCTGCTTGAGAAAATGTAGAACATATATAGTTCTCTCTTTAGTTTCCCTCTTTAAGTGCTGAAGAAATTCATGCGACTATTAACTTCCAATGTAACTAAAGGCTGATGTATATTGGTATTAAGAAGTGTCATATGCAGAGGCAATGCAACACATATTCATTAGTGTTCCGCTCATTGTTCAGCTTGTTCTTCACATAAGGCATCAAAAACACTGAAGTACCATCCAAACACAAAACTAATCTGAATCACATCATGTAGATAAATTTGTTATTTTCCTATAGTAAAGCAAATGCAATTCCATCCAAATCTGAGGCAAATGTAATTCCACCAAAATCTGAGGCAAATGCAATTTATATACTTGTAAAAGCAATAGTAACAACTTAACAATGAAGGGACTAAATATACTTATAAAAGCAACAGTAACAAGCCTGAGATCCTTGCTGATGATAAGGTGGTTCTGAGACCATTTAGACAGATACTTCGTGCCAATCAAGTCCCAATTAATATTAAAAAAGTGTGGAAAAATTGACACTACTAGTTACAAAATCACCTATTATATTGTAATCACAGGACCATCAGAATTTTCACACTACCCAACAATCATAAATCACCAGAAAAATAAAAAATAGGAATAAAAGAAAATAAACAGAGAGAGTGAGTGTGTGTGAGTATATACCAATATGTTTCTCCTGCTGACGAAACATGTAAGAGTGACTTCCATCTGCGTCACAGTAAGCAAACAGAGTTGATCAGACGGCGAGACTTAATCGGACACTAATCTACCTTAAACTGTTGCAACACTATATCAAAAATAGACACGTGGCAAGTCATTTGAAGGATATGATCATCACCGAAAGCTGAAGCGTAAAGCTTGATCCATTTGAAGGACACCTTGCGAGGATCAGGGACTTGAAGATCGCGCAAACAGGCAAACTTCCATATACTCTCATCCATGATAATGCGGTGGAACCACTTGCCCGTTGCTGCGAGCATCACCAGAGATTTTCCGTCCAAGTACTTGGCGATCTCCGTCCACACGTCCTCTTCGTAACTGTAATTTTGCGTACAAATAATAGAAACAGTTAAATGCGAAAATGTTTGAATCGTAAATCGAATTAGAACAATCAAAGCACAAATAGCATCTCATATTTTTTTAATTCAAACTTAATTCTGATCGATCAAGCTTTAGATTTCAATATTGATCAGCATGTTTGGAGCAGAGACAGATTTTGATCTATAAACACACACAGATTGAGCTTTCCAGTACACAAACAGGTTACCTGTTCTTTTTTGAATTGATCTTCAGATCAAAACTGTTAAATGCGAAAATGTTTGAATAGTAAATCGAATTAGAGCAATCAATACATACATGTGTACGTATATACACACACACACACACACATTTGAGCTGCATATGTGATGAAGCGAAGAAGAAGTAGAGTTATTTCCCGGGAACAGTTCAAACAATGCATCGATCTAACAGAAGGAACTAATTCAAAATTCATGAAATCAGCTAAAATTTAGACTTTGAGACCAAACGTCAAGTGCATTACATATCAGAATATCAAGATTAACAGTCAAAAATAGTCTGAATCTAAAACGATACAAGATCAAATGAGGCTGAGATCAGCAGGAACAGGATAAAAAAACAAAAAAAAAAAAAAAAAAAATCAATACAGAGATTCCAATAGCTTTTTACACTCGGATCAGTGACCGGTCGAAAATTCAAGCAAAAATTCAAACTCGATTTGAAATTCGTCAAAAACGGAATTCAAATCAAGCTTCAAAACGATTTGTATTCTAATTTATGCGCACTTAGGTATATATATATATATTTGTGTTCATCTATATTATATGTATATAGAATAGAGAGAGAGAGAGAGAGAGAGAGAGAGAACCAGTAGAAAGTGGAGTGAGGAGTGAGAAAGGTGGATCGAGGAGAGATGCAGCAGCAGATTGATTTCTCCCTTCGCAATCGTTTCCCCATTGCTTTCGTGCTTCAGCGATAAACAGAAATTCGGAATGAATAAATTAATGGAAAGAGCCACATCTGGCTATATATAGGCGCGGGAAGACCAGATTCGAAAAATATAACAACAACAGTGTGTGACTTGCATGATACCCAAATTAAATCTCCTTTTCCTGCCAAGAAAAAATAGGATAAAAAGAGAAATATGGGCTAAGCTCCATTACATAGTTCAAATATCCAATTCTTAATTTTTTTTTTCTTTTTTTTTTTCTTTTCCGATGAAACAATTGTAATATTTTTTGTATACATGTGAATGTATTTTCCAGGTGGGCCAAGGTAAAAACCAGGCCAGACAAGGGCAGAAGCCCAATAATGAACCAGCAAGGGAACAAAAAGAGTTTCCCGGCTAGGTTGGCCCAAATCCTTTTCCTTTTCCTTTTCCTTTTCCTTTTCTTTCTTTCCTGCCCTAGTTATCAGGAAAACAACAACAACAACAACAATAATAATAATAATAATAATGGTGAATATCTTCTTTTCTTCTCATCTAGCAAATGCTATTCTTTATTTTCCTTCTTATTCAAACGACTGTTAGGATTAAAAGATTAAAACCAATTTATACGTTAATCAAAGCCATAAGGTATAAGCCCCCCCCTTCTTAATTAAGGCCATTACAATTTTTTTTTGCCTGGTGGGGGTGGGGGTAAGTTAAGCCCACTACTCATATAAGGCCCACATGAAAAAATAAATAAGTAAAATTCCATTAGGATGAGTTTTTATTGTTTACGAATTGGGGTCTTTAAAAAACCAATCCGTCCGATCCAATTCTATTTTATAGGTATATAATAGAATATATACATTTTTTCTATTTTTATTTATTTAAGTTTTACTAAATTTTAACCCTAAAAACCTACTAAATTTTAACCCTAAAAGACCTACTTTTATGAATTAGAAATATTGAGCTATTTGGAAAAAGCCCAATTTAATTCGATTCATAATAAAACTTAATTTGATCCGATTCGTAATAAAACTTAATCCAATCCGATTCAATCCGGATTGGATTGGATTCAATTTTCACCAATATGTAGGGATTGAATTGGATTAAGTTTAATGCATAATCCGATCCAGTCTAATCCGTAGTCACCCCTAATGAAAACTCTCTACACTATATATGAGAAGATATTGAGTGTGCCTAGTGCATCGTGCACTGAGCTCATCCGAGCTGTACGTTCACAACATGCACTTAGCTCATCCGAACCGTAATTAATATTGTAGACCTGGCTCATCCGAACCATAATTATTGTGCATGCGCAATTACGTATTGTGCAAGTATTGCTCAGATGAGCTCGATACATGATGCACCTGACACACTTAATACCAACACTTTCCATTTCTATCTAGGGGTATGACTTACTCCCGGGATATTCTTAGATTTTTTTGCTGTGTGCAAACTTAACCTAATTTGGTCGCTACTGGCCAACACTCCTAGCTACTAACCACACCATAAAAAGGAAGTGGCCTAAGGTTTTCTAATTTCATCAAAGGAAAGACTGACTTATTGGTGTGGGATTAATTGTGATACTGGGATGTACTAATAATCACGGTTTAGCCTAGGATGAAATTTGAATATATTTAGGAAAGTAATATGCATCAATATATTTAGGAACCACATGAAAACGATCCCGATCAAAAAAGAATAATTAAAAAAGAAATTCTTATTTTGATCAAAAGGTAAATTTGTGAATCTTTCTTTTTTATACGAACAATCCTTCAACTTTTGATAAGATTTGGGGACGAAAAAAAACAAATAATATACCAGTTAATGAGAAGAATAAAATAATAAATAAAGCTTACCAATGATTTCTTTCTTGATGCAAAAAAGAAGAAAAAGTATTTTAATTTCATTCAAAATGTAAGGTTAAATGGTATAATAATATACTCTGTATAATATATTGTATAAAGTATAATGTAATGATTGGTATTAATACATATGATAAAAGAAAGTGTAATTGAGTAAATTTATTTCTTTATTTGTTGACTTGGTGATGACAAAAATATGTTAGAGAGGTAACATTAATCATCAACGTTAGATGCTTACTAGAAACAAAAAAAAACAAAAAGTTCTATAACAGGTTTCAAACTTTTTGGAGCATGGATTAAATCAGTACTGTAATAAAGAGAGAACAAGAAAAGGTTGTAGCCGATCATGCAAAGCCCTCCACGGTCACTGCCCAGGCAAGTTAAGCTTGCCATCCGGTTGGTGGAAGTCTCCAACCCGGTTGAGGATTCGGACGTGAATCCGAGTCTAAATCGGGCTTTTTATTCAGATAAACTGCCAAGCATTGCCGGAGGTTTTAACTGATGAAGAAAAGATGATTATAGACGACGCACAGCAGCAGCAGCAGCAGCAGCTTGTGGTTAGTGTGGTTGGTCCGAGTGGTAATTTATATGAGATGGAATTGAAAATTTGGCCTAGTACAGAACAACCAGTTTTTATAAAGGAGTGGAAGAAACTAGTTGCAGAAAACAAACTACAAGCACGGGATTGGGTGGAGATATTCGAGACTTAAGTAATCGTTTATATTTTGTCATCAATATCGGGAGAGGCGAACCAGTACTCTTGCAAGGACACATTAATGGTGCGTCCAGCAGCAGCAATGGCACTTTCCATGCATGAACTAATTTCTCTAAACGCACTTACGTTAAAAGTCCGAATCCCAGACAACTGAACCATTTCAGAGTATTTGTTTAGTAATTGCCTAGTACATGTAGGACAGGAACTTCATGTGTCAAGGTGATAAATTATGAGATGCTTTTAAGGGGCTCGATATAGACCTCCATTTCTCTCTATTATAAATAAAAAATTATAAATAATTAATTAATTAAAACAAAAAAAAAAATCGTCAATCTTAATAAAGCAGACACCATGGTGGTCAACAAAATACACACACTATTACATACACCAAAATGCTGGCCGGCCCATCACGATTACGCTCCTGATAAAAGGATCAGTAGTTCAATCCTTCCCGCCTCAAGCCTAGCCCAGACATTCTTGATGTGTGGTTTGAGTATTAGGATAGGCAATTCTTGAATATGGTCGCAAAAATTATATTTAGCATCAACAAAAAGAAACAAATGTTACATTAAAGATATACAAGAAGCAAAACCTTGAAGAAGAAAAAAAATACCAGCCAGACACCGGTGATTTTACATTTTATTTGCAACCAGAAGATTACAAATGGTAGTATGAAAGAAATTACAAGCTCATTATGATAATAAAAAAAATAATAATAAAAAAAAAAAAAAAAAATTGAGATCCTCATTTGTTGGGAGATGGTTCAGTGCTCCCAACAGAGGAATATTGGCTATAGATTTTTTTTTTTTTTTTCCCTACTGGTAATCTAATTCATAAATTTCCGGCAATTAGGAGCTTTACACAGGCAGGGTACTTTAGATTCATCACGCTCATCGGGATCAAACAAGTAATCATACCTGTGAGACAAAAATTAAACTTGTCACTCAGGATTAGTGGTCAGTGCCAGAGTATACTAATTCCTTAACAAACACATAAAAACTGAAGAAACAACGCAGATAAATGTAAAGTAAATCAACGTGAGAGAGCAAGAGAGATGGGGAGGCCACAAAATCATACGTTAACTCATCACCAGCAGAAAAATTAGTCTTTGCTATGAGAACTATCCGGCTCTCTTCCTCACCCACGCTCATGATCCTTGCATAGCAGTTGGGCATGCACTGCAGCAAAGGAATTAAAATGTTTAAGCTCGTGGCCTACAAGTAAATATAAATTTACATACGCATGTGTGAAGAACGCCAATATATACAGTTCTCAATGCAAGTAATAAATTAAAAGGAAGGACTACATCCACAACAATTATGACAATATCACAACCCCGTAAATGAAAAGGCAAGTTACATAGGTCATGGAAGAAACCAAAAGATTTATCAATGCATAGGATAAATAGAACTTGAGTCAGTGGAACCCACTCAAGGGACAGGCATAATATGATGTACATAACTAAAGCTGGGTCTAGATGAGTTTTTGGCTGCTAAATGCAACCAGACTCAGCCTAATGCATGTTCATCGTTTCTATCCTACTATAAATACTTATGCTGGTCTCCAATTTTGTAAAAACGTTAAGTGTTGTGTATTCCAACTGCACATTCTGACAGGATTGATTGCAAATTATAACACAAGCTATGTCAGCATGTAAGGATACCTAAATCACTGCGACATGACCAGCCTGACCTAAACAACCAAACCTGCACTTTGGGCTACTGGCTACATCAAATCGAACAACGGGCAAGCACTAATACTCCGCTTGTTTCATCATAAAATGTTACACACTAGAAAATATTTCAATGTAAACTTTTTTTTATATGTAAAATAGAATTGTTTTCCTTATTTTCAGTGAATATTCTATTAAAAGAAGAAAAAAAATTATACTGCGTCGTATTTTTCCGCAGGACCTAACCTGCAGTATTGTCACCACAGCAGAGTTTAACCGCCAAGTTACATCCAAAAGCATGTTAGAATATACCAAGAAGTATCATCCACCTCAAGGGCTAGCTCAAACAAATGGACGTGTTGATCTAAAACCATAGCATTTCCTTGGCAAATTGCAAATGAAGAAAAGCCACCTCAGCTATAAAAATAAACAATTTGAACAAGATTCTAGCCTGCTGTCATTGGTTAATGACGCTAGATGTCAACCAGAATGCCAGTTTGACTGAGATTTACCACCTCGCTGGCTCACTCTAGACCAGTAATAACTCTGTTAATCATTGAATCATAGAGCCTAGGATCTATAGACCATGCTTAAATCAGAGCGCCAAATTTGACTTACCAAAATTCAGACACGTGATTTATTTTCGTCATTTGAAGTAAAACATTTACTACGGAAAATGTTTTACCCTCTAATATGCAACCAAACATTGGAAATTGAAAATTATATTCTCAGGAAAATGTTTTACGTTGAAATAAACAGACCATAACTAATATGCCTACATTCAATCAAATCTGCCCCAAGTCATCCCTTATACACATCTTGAATCTGCTATATTAACTTACTGAGTGATTGATTAAGCGTGCTATATTCCCCTTGTTTGTGGCATCAATTACAACTTCCTCACTGATCTTGAAGAACTGCAGAAAGCATTTAATCAAACCTTTAGAAACATTTTTTTGAGACAAAACAGCAGTCACAAAGTAATCATCAGAAATGAATCCACTCAGAAAAAAGATATCACTGGAACAAGATGATCAACTAAAAACTAGCTCCGTGTACTAAAAAAGCACTATCGCATTAGGAAAAAGCAAAAGGAAAGGCCCAGTCAGGTTTAACACCCATATGATCTTGTGCATCACACAAGGATGTAGCTGCCCCAACAGAAAATTTCTTCAACTTTTAGGGGAATGGAACTTGCAGTACCACAGACAGATACAAATTATCTGAGCTTAAGCATTTTCTTAAGTACTTTTCTTTTTTTCTTTTTCCTATTTGAAACTCACACACCCACTTTGCCCCAAACGGGACTTGAACCCTCGACCTTTTACTGTGGAAAGTGAGGAAGTACCGCTGGTGAGAGGGAGGGAGAGATATTTAGAGAGGAAAAAAGAAGCTGTAGCATCTGAACCAGACCAAAAACAACTTCAAGCCATAAAAAAGGATGGCAAAAAAAAAAAAAAAAAAAAAAAGAAAAAGAAAAAGTGGGTTAGTAGGTGAAAGTTTGCCGCAGAGTACTTAAAAATTACTAAAATGTTGATAACTTTCAAACCAATCTTTGTAATGCTAATCTATGAGTTATTCTAACAACTTGGCCTAGTCATGAATCAAAGTCATCAAAGTTTAAAGCACTTATCAAATCAAAGAAATCATTGGATTAGAACGGCAATTGATGGGTGGGCACATGAATGTACAATCACAAAGGATCAACTCACATAGCAATCTTTGCCTTCCAACCGATAGCGTGCTTCCCTCAAATCTGCAACGCTGCGCCTCACCTGCTCACCACGATACTCAAGAACCTGGAGAAAGATGTGAGCAACATGGAAGATTTCATCAGTACCAAGCAAATAATAAAAACTTGGTGAAAATTCAGGCTACCAAGCATGAAAACGTGAATAATGGCCTTTTGGAAGAATTCTTTCACTCAAAATCCAGCCTAATAGTAGTTCTTTAAGGAACTAATATTTCAAAGAATGGCAGGAAAAAAGGGACATATCAAACAGATGGAAAAGTGACAAAAATATTATATTTTGTCTCAAAATATGCAAGTTGTAAGGGGCTATCTTTGAAATACTTTTAAAATATTATGGGTTTAAAAAACGAGGAGGACTATAGGAGACTATTTCATGGTATCGAGAAGTACCATTTCTCCTTCTTGAATGTTCCGGCGTGCAAAAAGGCCCCATCCATGTATTCCAGATTTACCAAAACAAACCCGATTATTTTCCGTTCTCTGAGGAAATGAAAGAACACTGATATATGAGAAAATTCTATCAGGAAGGCAGTAATCATTGCTCATAGAGAAAGATATTTGCCTGCAAGTGGTTAAGTCTTTCCTTGAATGTAGAAAAAGTCTTTGGATATTCAACTTCCTGTAGGGGGCAAAAAATAACATATTTATTTATCCTAAAAAGAACATGTTTTGGAAGTATATAAAAAACAAATAAAAAAATACAAACATAAAATTACTTCGTATGAGCTTAAGCAATCTATCGCATCTAAGGAATGATGACTTGGCCCCATCAGTCGGTGGAATATTGGCCTTTCTCCAGCCCTCTATAGAAACAGGAAAACAAACAGAAAAAAATAAAAAATAAATTGTACCACTAAATAAAGCTAATCTGAGGAGACAATTAGAATATTCTTCTCCTTCACAAAGAACGAAATGCAAACTTTTTGACGTACATAGAAAAAGAAGTTAAAAAATATCCAACAAAAAGATGTTTGTATATGCGCAAGGTGCAATAGTAGATTACCTTGTTGTTTGATCTTTTAAAGATGCGGCACCTTGCAGCAGAGCGTGGTTCGCACTCATTAGGATCAGTTGATGAACCAGCAAGTTCTGTTCTCTTAGATGAATCTAGTCTTGAACCCCTAAAACACTGTGCATGATTCTTCTTTTGAAGCAAGCTTCTGGTAGAGAAAACCCCTGAAGGAGTGTCTACAACAAGAACATTATCTGGGTTTGGGACCCTGCAAGAGAAAATGGTATGAAGACATAAAACCTGAAGCAATAGCTGGTTCTTAAAGCAGAACTATAATTTTATACTATACCCTTTTTCATAGTGTGGAGAGTGAGTGAGTGAGTGACTATTAACACCGCAAATCAAATTTTTACATACTTTGAAGCTCCAGACAACTTAATTTTGTTATATAGTTGTACATTAAAATATCATTATATTCCTTTCTTTACAGTATTACTTAAAACTAGTAAAGTACTTGTCTTGAACACATATTTGCGTAAATAAAATAGTTTTTACCTTAATAAAAAATGAATATTTAATCAACCCCAAAGGGTTGGCTCAAGTGGTAAGTCACTTGTCCCTGCTGCCTCAGGAAGCATCAGGTCTAAGGTTTGACTCATCTTGGGGGCAAACAATTCCTTGGAGGATGAATATTTAATCGTGCCCCTGTATTCTTGGGTTTGGAGATTTTTAAAATCCAATTCCCATATTTAACAAGATCTCACATCACTATAAACATTGCAACACCTCACAAAAACAGAAATGACCATAACGAACATATAAGTGTTACTGCAGGCACGTGATGACCATATAATGGTTGCTATACATGCACAGACAATGAGGATACAGTATCCATATATCAGTCAAAGGAAGGAAAAAAAAAAAAAAAAAAACGACCAATTATAATGGAGGCCTCTTTTTTCTTAAAGGAAGGGTCCTCCTTTCTTGAATAACTTTAGCGTACTCAAAATATTAAACCTGTTAGGGTCCAGGCTCCGTGATGAATATAGAGAGTGGGTTTCATGTTGCACAGAGAGCCCTTCATAGTCAACATAAAGGACAAAGAGAAACAAGAAGAGTACATGAAAAAGAAAAAAAAGGGAGAAGGGGCATAGTTCTTACCTGTGAACAGCACAATATGATACCCATTTGGTTATTTCTTTCCCATTCTTCTCCGAGCAATGCAACTGAAAGTTAATATGAGAATAATCGAATCACTTCATACCAAATGTGAGAAAAAGAAAGTAAAAGTAGAAAAGAGGGGATAATGGCATCCAAAATAAAATGAAAACTGAATCAATTAGTTGAATACAATTGGTAAAAAAAAAATCAAAATATGCCAAATGCCCAATCATCTAACAATTTAGTCTTGTCACAGTCACTTTTTATTTTTTTTTATAAGTATAAACAAATCACTTATTCATTGCCTTAAAAATGGCAATTTTGGCTGGTGACTGGAGTATTAGTCATTTAAGTATCAAGGAAACCTTTTTCCTGCTTGAGTTATCACCCAGTTGCAATAGATACCACACACACTATAAATATTGTATATAGATCTAAACATAAAATAACTATATTTCCAAACCAATGTACGCAACAATGAATGCCATGAGAGTTGGTGACAATTGTGTCCTCTATGAGTATGCTATCAGAATATTTGGACTAATGACTATCGCTTATTTAATGTGTGACTTCCCTTCACTAGCAAATATGAAACAACCAAGCTTTATGTGCTATATTGTGTTCAACAGAATATCTGGCTAATGCCCTTTTAGTGGAAGATCTCCACACCCACATCAGAGGTCTCAGATCTCCTGTGATATGCCGGTAGACCAGCACAAAGTTCCAATTTTTCATATTCCTGAGATCACAATAAGCACTAAAATAGATGATGGGCACAGAAACAAAATGAGTGTATATAATGCCTAACATTTAAAACACATAAAATCTACAAGGAAAATAATCTCTGGTCCCTAGGCCCTAGTAACAGTAATAATTGAACACATCAAGTGAACCCCTGATAGGAAAATTCTACAAGATTACTAATAGGCCAGTGGCCTAGCGGTACCAAACCCCTACTTCCCAAAGCAAGGTTAGGGGTTTGAGTCTCAGTGGAGACATGTGTGTGTGAGTACCAACTAAGAAGAAAAATATCCGCAAGATTAGGTAGGGTAATATCTTATTTTCCTGTTTCCTCATAGACAACACTTACAGCAATCCTTTCTTCTTCTTATCAAACCCAAACCTCATCCCTTCCTCAAAGATTCCATCCAAGCACTTGAGCACTGTTTGGAAAACACCAAGCAGCCAAGACACATTTGGAGTTGGTGCTTATGGTGTTGAGAATGGCAATGAGGTTGCAGCAGATGACGTGGTACTGGTGTTGGCAACAATATTCCTGAAGCGGCCATTGGTCAAAAAAGGTGGAAATGGAGGTGTGATCAACACGAGGTAGAAGAGGAGGTGGGAGGGCATCAGATGTGTAGATTTTAGTGGAAGACCATGGTGGTGGCTATGCAGTGATGCTGTTGGTAATGGTGTGGTGGAAAAATATTCAGAGCAACTGAATATTTGGATGTGGTGGTGGTTGATGCTGTAGTATATGGGTTATTATTATTATTATTTTTTTTTTTGGGGAGGGGGGGGGGGGGGGGAGATGATACAATTGCAATAGCATATAACCGCAGTGTGATTTGCAAGTTGATCTGTTTTCTATTTCTGCAAGCTTCTTTTTTTATTCATGATCTGCATAGCCTTTCTTTTGTATTCATTCTTCAGAACCGCCCAAGCACCAAACATTTTCTGCAAGCCTTTTTAATTGTTTTTTCAAGGTTAGAAACTAGAAGGTGCAACCTACTAATTCGGAACTATACTTAAATCGCCACTCTCTTTCAAGCCTAATGAGTAACATTTGACAATCACTTCAGTGACTTGGGGAGTCATGCAATTATATTAGTTATAAAAAAAAAATGGTCTTATAGACAAACCAAAAATGCAGAAACTTACTTCCGTGTAGTATCCCGCTCTTGATGCACACATTGCATGAAAATAAGTGGTGCACTTGCAACACTGTGTGCAAGATCCATGAACCTGCTTGCAGATTACACATGTCTGTAATTCATGCAAATAAAACACACTTCGATCACAAAACTTGAAAAGTATACTAATGTAATAGAATTTCTAGATTTATCAGCTGAGAAACATATCCAAACAAGGAGAGGGGGGAGGGGGTTTCAAATACTAGAAAATAATAGCAAAGCAAGAGTCAAAAAACTACATGCTGGAATTAACTTCCTTTGGCTATAAAAAAATTGACAATACCAAAGAAGATACACGGATTGACATAAGCATGTGCTGTAATTCTGTGATTGAAGCGTCAGTAAAGAATTACCATCCGTCCATTCTATTTCAAACAAGACTTGTACCTTTACAAAAGAATTTGACGGAATTCTAAGAAGTCCACTGGCAGGTTCCATTTTTTCATCATCTAGGAAAGCAACTTCAGGCCGAAACCATGCACATGTTACATGAACCCACAGGGTGTCGACATCGGCTGGCTTCAAAGCACCCCCTACAAAAGCAGTACTCCAAGAGTAAAAATAAAAAAAATAACAGAACAAAATTGGAGGTTCCAACAAAAAAATAAATGTGTTACATGGCATACCTTTTACAGGGCATAGGCAACATTCTCTCTCAAAATCAGGAGTCTCACATGCCCTGCAAACCCATGAAGTGAAGTCCTGAACATTTCTTGCTCCATAACATTCTTGATGGACAGCTATTTGACACCTGTACAGAAAAAGTAAATCTCAGAAATGCAAACACTGTCCAACTCATGTCAGCATATACAATTTATTTCAAATGCACCAAAAACAGCCCAAGCATAAAAATCTGCAGATGATGGAAATACCTGTTGCAAATAACTATTTTGTTATAGTCCCAATCTACAACCCATCTACAAATAGCACATCGTTCTGTTGTCCACTTTGCATAAACAGGTTCATACTTCTCTGTCAAAGTGAAACTAGCACCACAATCAACTTTCTTGTTTGTTGAAAATTTAAGCAGACTAGAAAAAAAAATTTTAAAAATATCTGCAGTTGTTGTCCAAATAAATTAAAAATATATATAAATACCCTTTAAAATGTAAGAATTTTTTTTTTTTTTTATAAGTAAAAATGTAAGAATTTCAGTGAAGTACACAATTACCTTGCAAAAAATCAAATAATTGCTGCTTCTGCAACTTCAAAGGATTAAACCCATGTGTGTTATACTCTGCCATCTGTAGGAAGTATTTAAAATTTAAATTAAATAACTTTGATTGACAAAGGGAAAGTTTTGGTCAACTATATATGACGTGAAGTTTTTTCCATCCCACCCCACCCCACCCCCACCCTCAACCACCATCCAAGGAAAATAGAAAAAATACAAATCATTAATCTAAAAAGCTAAAAGAAATTTTATAACATCCAACTAACATGAAAAACAATGATATACGCTTGAAATATAATTTGAAACAGCCAACTGCTTCGTCAAAAAATGGCCTTTTCTAGACATAAGTACTCCTAATCAAGCACTTGTTTCAAAATGATAATTAATCTGCTCTTATTTGTTGAAGGAAAGAAGCTAATGAAATAGAGAGAATGGAATTGGTGATGGTTAGAGCATAGTGCAAGTAAATTTGGTGTGGTAATTTGGCTAGATAGAGAAAGCAGAAACGTTATCTTGTGGGCTCTAGTGGTGTTGCTTTCAGGAGTCACGTGAGGGTAGGATGACGACTGTATCAGTTAAACATCCAAATCCATTCTTCAATTACTCGCCAGAGTATAACCATCTAAAACAATAAGCTAGTGGACATATATGGGAGCAAAGTTTTTTTGATAGTTAAATTACGCCAGTGTCATTCCTTGCTTACAAAATCTTTAGGCAAAGAAGAGCATCTTATTTCCAGAAATGGCCGTTTCTGCACACACTGTAACAGCCATTTACACAGGATCTTTTGGAAAAAGTACTCTCTTATGAATTTTCAGGATTTGAATTACGAAACAAAATGGAAGTTCTAATCACTTATCAAAAAAAAAATTGCAAGTTCTAATTGGTAGAGAGAAAAAAATATTAACAATACATGACTAGACCCAAGCCAAGGAGTTAGCGACTAACTTCTGTAATAGGCAAAGACAAATAAAATAATACAGGGGAATTTCTAGAATTATTGCAGAAAACTTGCCAAAAAACAAAAGAGAAGCCTACTAAAGAAAAGCTATGGATGAGTACATTCAATCTATAAATACACTTTGACAAATCTGGTGCCGAAGGGCATGTAGGAATTAGGTTGGTAGATTTCGTGTTCAAAACTAGTGTCTGTATCTTCTTTTTTTTTAAAGTTAATGTCAAGTTGATTACCACTTGTCCAATGGCAGAGTTGGATGGAATTGGAGTTACAACCAAGGGCAGAATTTGCCACACATATATGCACTCATTAGGATTCATTTAGGAAGCACGGACACTCCAAAATGGGTGAAGAATCCGTGTCCGACACGGACACGTGTCGGACACACCAAAAAAGGTGTCTAGAATTTTTTTATTTTTTTTAAATTTCGGACACGGCTCAGACAGCTCAGACACGGCTCGGACACACTTTTCTGGATTTTTTTTTTTTTTTTTAATTTTTAATGCTGATATGTTAATTTTTTATTTTTTTTTAAAATTTTTAATGCTGATATGTTCTATTTTTTGTTTTGTACTACCCTTAAGATGCTGATATATATATATACTAACCTAAAGATGCCACAATTCGCCGTGTCCATGTCCTAAAGATGCTGATATATATATATACTAACATATCAGTGATATATATATATATATATATTCCAACCTAAACATATCAGTGTTTCCTTCTTTTTTTTAAATTGTTAATGCTGATATATATATATATATACTATTCGCCGTGTCCGTGTCCTAATTTTTTTGGATTTGCCATGTCGCCGTATCCGTGTCGTGTCGTATCCATGTCCCGTATCTGTGTCTGTGCTTCTTAGGGATTCATACATTCATCAATTAGGGTTTCGTAAATTTCATGATTTGTTTCACTAAAATCCTTTTTGATATGCATAAACGTACAATTAGTAAATTGTCTTGTTTAAAATTCTATTTGGAAAAGGACAAGGGATTTTAATCGATCCAAGGATCAACCATATCGATCGAGCAACATCTTAACTCGATTGATCGAACTATGGAAAAAGCAATTTTCTTTTCTAGTCACAACTCTAAAACTCTAATACTTCTGTCTCTCTATATTGTATATAAGTACTTAACTATTTTAGAAAAATTGATCACACTCAGAGAAGACAATGGAGAGCAATATACTAAGAGTGCTAATAGTTTTTTGTTTTCATTCATCAATATATTGCATGTTAGATTGGTGAATGATCATGTACATGTGGACAATCTATTCTTGCTGAGCTGAATTAGAGTTCAACACAATCAACCTACTCCTCAGAGATCAGTGTGGACAACTGGACCATTAGATTAAAGTGCTAGAGAAGAAGCAAATTCCATAAGGAGCAAAATCCGTTGATAAGCAAACGTAGACTGGTAACCGATGACTATTCACGAGAGGACTGGTGTGTGTCTGGAGACTCGAGTAAGTGAGTATGAGTTTGGTGGACCAGTCTGTGTCAAGAGGTAAGTAGAAGCAATATGCCTTTATGACAAATAAAATTGTCTAAACACTTCCAGGTACAGATTTATTCATTGTGTTTAGCAATTCTTTCAAAATGAGAAGATGTGGTACAAACCCATTTTTCCAGCGGTAGCATTGAACCCTTCACTTTGACGCTGACCTTCCATTTTTTGGCTCTAGAGCCTGTATGTCGTTCCCATTCACCAAGAGTTTGTTTCTTTTCCCCACATGAACCGCACTTGCATTGAACTCTAACAGAAGAAGGAAATGGAGTAAATTATAAATAAATAAATAAATAAATAAAATCCCATCCACGGACCTCAATAATAATTATCAGATCACCACATGTTTGTTATATGGGGAAAAAATATGAATTATTAATCAGTCTCTGTCAGCCTAACATAAGCAAGCAATTCAGATTGATTTTCTGAGTTTCAAGTTGCTGCTTAACATTCAAGACACATTTATTTTTATTGCCTTGTTTTAGCATAGTAAGGGAAAAGAGGGAATAACTCAATTAAATCATAGCTCGTAATTCTTCCTAGAATGGTCATTTACTCGAGCACAACCAACTCAAGCAGATACAGCAGATATTTACTATCTGAACTGACATGTTACACAAACAAGAGAACAAAAAAAAAAGTACGAGGCTGCAAAAGAGTTCAATTCCACCTATTATCCATTCAACGTTAACAATATTTATGTTCAATAACTCATCATTTGTATATAAATTGGTCACTTTCATTACATTGATCATCATAATAATAGACATTATTCCAATAATTTGTGGCAGCCACCTCCACTTCTTGCACTGGGAGTTCAGGATCAAAGAAAAATCATCCTCCTAGAAAATTGATGATTCGGTTGAAATCTTGTTTTGGCAAACCAAAGAAAAATCATACACCCAGTGTTTTTTAGAGATTGTTTCTGGTGTAGGCACAACATATAGCTCAATTTACAAATTTAATATGTCATGAATTATCTAAACAACTTCCAAATTGTCTTAAATAATGTTGTCAATTTTTTCCCAGACATGCCTAGCGTATCTTAAGAGTGAGGCTTCAAATGCCTGGACTTCATGGGGCTAGTCATTGAAGAATATTCCCTCAGTACTATAATATAGTAATTACCAACAATAATGTAGAAGATAATCTTATTTAGGACCTACAAGGATAAATGAAATAAATTTTGTTATCCGTATATTAGTGTTGAGTGTGAAAAGAAATTGAGAGGACGCATATATTTTTTTCTTGATCCAAATGCAGCAATTGGGTGAAAAAAGGAGTCCCTTCCCACACATCTTAAGAACCCAAACCTTGACAAAGGCAGGATTTGATTGAGCAAGTACAATAACGTTGATATTCATAATATTATCATTGATGGTCAGCATCAATAACCTACATGTTTATGATAGAAATTCATGGAAATGGCCATTAACTCATTATCTACTTCCCCAGAAGAAAAAGGTTAAGTTTCATAGATAGAAGGTAAAGTGTTGGATCGATCTTTTTTCGTAAAACTCGTACAAAATCAAAGTTTCAGAGGCTTACAAATGAAGACTTGGAAAATAAATCCCTTCCATGCCGGTGCAGACAACAGCTATCTTGTCAGGCAGCACTGTCTGTCCACTGGTTTCTAGAGAACTGTTTTAATAATTGTCACATAATTAATTATAAAACAGAAGGGTGGGAAATATCCATAAGAAGTTATTGGAAAATCAGATAAGTATTGCAGCCAAAGGAAAAGCAAAAAAACAACACGAATAATGGCACGTAATGCTGCTGACAAACCTGACATTTGACTGCCTTTTTTCTGCAACTGGCAATTCATAATTAGACTTTGAATTGCATTCAGGGCAGTAATAATCAGTGACTTCCAGAGCCTTCAAAAACATCATCTAGTTAGTAATCCTTTCCCATCATGCATCTGAGTGACAAAAACTATAATGTTGCATATTACGCATTACAAACATACAGACCTTGAAACGCTTGTCAGAAATGTTGGCACACTCAGCATGCACCCAAACGTTGCACCCATCACAGCATACCTAGTTCACCAAAAATGTTCAAACTAGAATCTCATAAATCATTCCTCTTTCCTTCTTTTTTTTAGAATTAAAAACCTAACTAGAAATGCAGATAATCTCACCCAACTTCCACCATCTGAATGATGCCAAATCTTCTTGCATATGCCACAATATTGTTTTGATTTTAGTAACTGCAACCACAATCCATGGGAACGTTGGTTAGAAACAAAACTATAATTTTACAAATTATACAAGATCTAGATACATTGTGACATGCATTCTTCTGAACCTTAACACAATGTTCACAAAAAAGCTGGGCATCAGAAGCAGAGTCCTTTGTTCTGTTTGTTCTTTTGCATGGCAGAAGCAAGCCACAGCCGCCACAGGACCGTGAATCCTTCTTATCAAATGCAGCCTGCAAAGGGAAAATATCATAATGAAGCCAAATCACAGTTTAAAAGCATTGCAAATTGAAAAAGTAATTTTCAAGTGCAAATTGAATTAGTAATTCGAAGATTAAAATCAGAATATTACAAGTAGAAGATAATCAATAGGACATGTCCAAGAGTTTGAATGGTTTTTAAATGCATTACAAAGCAGCGTCTTCCACTTTATTGATGTTAAATGAAAAGCAGTAACTGTAATCCAAACATTAATGCATAATTATCTACAGTCGATTTCTGTTACAAATATAATTAATTGTTTCATATGGTAAGTGGGCCACATAGATCCATTATAATGATGATTGCTCATGTGGATTACATATCAATGATAGGTTTACTAGTCATGGCCGCAGTTAGCCACTACAGGGGATGCACCCATAAACAAGCTCCTTCCTCGGTCGTATCTTTCAGTTACTAAATTCAGTCATTACCCACTTCTCTTTTCAGTTGCTTTTGTGTATCAGAATTCTCTCTTAAATTGCCAAGTGGTAATTTCTTGTACAGATGTATAATCAGACCAAAAAAGTGTTGGCTTAATATAACAGTATAGAACTACAGATGAGACAACTATTTTTTTTAGGTTATTGTATATTTAACACAATGGGAAGCGATATGAACAGAATAAAATCGCCAGCTCCAAGTTTGAGAACCACATGATCCACTAGAGTGGCATAGAATGCACCAAAAAGTCCTTGAATCTACAAACATAAAGAAGGGGAAAACTCTCTAAAATATAATTTATACAAAATGACAACAGTTATTAGCATCTTTGAATTTTAGGGGCATCTAAAGCCACATGCTTTGGTTCGAGTCTCCAAAAGAGATTGCACCCCCAAAAAATGGCAAGCACCACAAAACAAAATGTTCATGGTCTTCCAGGATAATCTCATTGACATGGACACAGAATTGGATATAAAGAACATGAAATGGACTCTGACAACTTGCCTGGTTATGAGAGTAGCATTCCTGATCTTGATTGGAACCAGTCACCTCTTGGATTTCACTATGATTTGCTACTGGAGACGCTTCGTGACCACTCCCAAGAACAGTGTCTATGTAACCATGTTCTGCTAAGACCGCCTCCTCTATTGCCTTTTGAAAATCACTTCGCTTGCTGCCATTTAACTGTGTCTGCCCCTGAAATCTGAGCAAGGAAGAAAAATCATCAAACCTAATAGATCTCCTAATTACAATGAATTTAATATAAACTATAAAACATCTGTCACGAACAAACCTGCACAAGTACTCTAGGAAGGGAAAGATCATTCCTTGTTTCACCCATGCATAATCCTGCCCATCACCAATAATTTAGGTCACAAAAATAAATTAAAAGAATTTCCTTCAGAACATAATAAGTATGTGCTCTCAACTCTATGTATGCAGATGTCTCGATAATCCAGTGAGTTAGTGCCTCCGGTGGACTTTGGAGAGCACACTTCTTGGAATAAAAAAAAAAACTCTATGTACTCTGTAAACATGCATAATACGTGCATAATTACGTGTATGGAAGTGTGTGTTTGTATGTGGGTAGGTGTAAAAATTGCATGCACGTCAAAAAATGAGTCAGAGAGATTAATTACCCTTCCATTTTTGGAATGCCCAAAGAACATCACACACATAGTGCCAGGAACACAAGCCCTCAAAACTGGCTTGGGAGCTTCCAGTCGGGGATCAATCACAATCGCTGGCCAAGCTGGGTATTTCTTCCCTGATTTCGCCCAGATTATATCACCCAAACCAAAGTCCTCTGGCCTATAGAAGTCCTTTCTATTTCCAGCCTTCTTTGCAAAATTATCTTTGCCTGTAAACATTCTGTGTTGAAGCTCACCAGACCCTACCAAGGGCGAACAATTTCCTTCATGAATAGATGTTACCGAACTATGAGAACTCGAATACATTTTAGTGTCCAAAGCCTTGAATTCTGTACAACCCATTTCAGCTTCCTCTGGTTTTACAGAAACTTCATTGCACTTCTGCTTTTGGAAGCTAAACTTGGTCTCCTTGTGCTTAGTTCTCTTCTTGTGGGACAATACAGTTTCGTCGTCAATAACAGAGTCATTAAAACGCGATGGAAGCACCTGGATACGTCCACGTGAAGATTTAATCAGCGGAGGACGATACCACTGTGACGAGGTCTGATTCTTAACTCTGGAAGCTCTGTGATTGTTTGAAGAATTCAACTCTACGGCACCGGCATAGTAGGCTGCTGCTCCGGTGCAACGAGAATCCACGATGCTGCTGCTATTATCTTCAACAGTGTCACCGAAGCCCCTTATTAGAGGAATTGAATTGAACCCAATTGTTTTCTGCTTTTTCGGATTCACAGAAAAGACATCCTCGTCGTCTTCTTCGCCGTCAATATATGCTTCCGTGCAGCGCTTGAGGTTCGCCATTTCGAATTTCAGCGTCTGTTTAAAAATCATCTTCTCTATCAGCAAAACCCAATCATTGAAATCAACAACTTCGCTTTCTGAGCCAACAAAACCCTAATTGACATCAAACTTAATAAAAAAAGACAATTAAAATCGCCACTCGTATTTTCGGATAATTGTTCTGCAAATCTGGATCGATGATTTTATCCCTTAGGCGTAAATTCAGCCCCAATTCGCAGCAAGTTGCTGCGAACCCTAATTATAACCAGAAATTCGAACGGTAAACCGGTGAGATTCAACCGATATACGGATTCCTACTCTTTACAGCCGAGATAAAACTAAAGAAAAAGAAAATTTGGAATCCGCCCACCAATTCAATGTTATAAAGCAACTTTCTGAAGAAAATCAGTAGATTTTCCGGGAAAATAAATTGAATTGACGGAATGTAAAATCCGAACTACGTAGTGCTCAGGAGATCTATCCGTCGGGTAGAAGGAAAGTGAAAGAATTTCTATATATGATATCTATATATAATGTTTATTACTATAATTCCGACAAAGTGAAGTTATTGGTCGGTCAAGTTTTCGTATGGTTTTGGCTCCAAGATTGCAGCGAAATTCGAAACATGACGGAAAATATGAAAGGAAAAATGAAAAGGAGGAGGGAGATGGATGTGTTTGGTAGGCGCGAAACGAAAATTAGAAAGTACTCGGTAGCATGTACGGGGGGTTTATGTGCTATACTTGGGAGTGATTGGACGTTAGTGCAGTGTTGAGATCTTCCTGATTGTCCGTGCCTACTGTGTTGACTTGTGTGGCCGCTGGCCAGAGTGATAAAAGTTTTGGTTTTATATTGAACGCGTTTGGCAAATTTTGTGAACAACATGCTAAACCAATTTTGGAAATCCCTTGTATGATAAAGTTGGAATTCGTTTAAGATAATATCACAAGTGTGTGTAAAATTTAAAATCACAAGTTATAATCTAGGATGAATTACTTTTTTTATGCGAGGTTTATCCAAATTAGCAATAGTCTTCAACATCAATTAGGAATTAATGTCAAGGCTTTTGGAGTTAACACACATCTCATATATACCCAATCATTCCTTTATCCGAATCCGGCGTAGGACAAGCTCCCCTTATTACAATAGGCTTGTTGACGAAGAGAAATCAAAGTTGCATTGGTTGGACGGTGGCAGGTTTAGGCCTACGAAAAGTTCTGATGGCGACTGTCGTGGCAGCAATAGTAGGGCAGCAGTGGCGAAGTTCCCGTGGAGCAACACGCAGGTCTTGTAGGTAATTTCTGTTTCTTTGTTTTGTTTTGTTGCTCAAAATTGGTTCATGGTATTCAATGGATGAGTGATGTCTAGTTGATCATGTTGAAAGTTCTTCTCCTCATGTAGTCTCCCCCCTATCTCTCTGTTGCACGGGAATATTAACATATTAATTTTAATAATTATATACTATTTCATATTGGCGATTTGTTATGATTGATTGAGGTTATATAACAGTAAAATGTGAATTTTGATTTCTATTTTTTATGCATCTTCTTTTGGGGGGTTCTTTTTAAGCTTAAATATGACTGGAAGTTTCTAATTTATTTTTTGTTATTGATTTCACATGATCAGATTTTGGAGTTCTTGGTCTTTGGAATGGGAACTTAATGGGTTCTTTTACTTTATTAGAGAAGTTTTAGGATTCATTGGTGTGGGCAGTTTGGATCTGATTTGCACAGCCTGATGAATATGACATTTTTTTTTGTTAATGTGCACTACAAAGAGAGGGAAATGTGATTTATATATAAAATGGTATAAGGGACATTTTGAGAGCGCAAAAGGATGTTTTAAGAATTGTATAACTTAAAATATTCACGCACACTTCTTAATGGTTATTTATTGACATAATATAAACATTAAACACTCTTTGCCACGTTTTTCAAACTTAACAAATTTATATATCCAAAATAAAAGATAAGGGTGTCAATCGCCCAAAATGTAAATATTATGGATTTTTTTCTTGCTTTGCTCATTTTTAAACACCCAAACCACCCTTAAATGGTAAAATGACTCAAATGACCTTATTAGTATACCAAATGACCATTTAAACCAATTTTAATTTATATTCGGACGGGCACAACCATAAGGCAATTAAGGCGGTTCCATTAGGCCCCCAATGGAAGAAGAGCCCCGTAAAAATGATCTCATTAATTACTTATATTTTTAAAATTTATTAATTTTGTTTTATTTATTTTATTAATTAGTAATTACCAAATAAATAATTGTTCTTCTATTGGTCAATATAATATATTTTTACCAAAAAGTTTTATACTATAGAATAATTAAATAAAAATTATTAGAATATCACTAATATATAATATGAGAAGCCCTAATTTAAAGATTTCACTCCAGGCATCGAACTACAACAAATTGGACTGCTTAAACCTATATAACCTAGCCCACTTTCCCAACCAGTTACAACATTTTTCCTCACTTTTTTTGGCATCAACCATACCTGATCAATCTCTCTCATTTTATCATTATTATTATTATTTATTTATTGTTTTTTGTATCTCAAGTAAGGATGGCAACGGGGGTAGGTTTGGGTGGGTGTACCCTCCTCCTCCCCCACAACCGTTTAAAAATTCCGCCCCCATCCCCTCCCAAAACCGTAAAAACGAGAGAACTTTCAACCCCATTCCCGTGACCGTTTAACAGTTTTACCCCGCGGGTATCCGCCCCGCCCCGTTTAAGACCATAATGTATTTATTGTTGAAATAGATTTACTTTATTTTTTTTTCCCCTCATCTTCAATTCTTCACCATTGCAACTTTCCTTTTAATCAAATTCATTTATTACTTTAATATTGTTATATATGGTACTTAATATATAATTGTAAATATATATGCTATTGAAATAAAGGTATTTAAGTAATTTGTCTATCTAAACGGGGCGGGGTGGTGCGGGGCGACCTCCCTCCACCCCTACACCCAACTCGCACGGGTTTTTATTACATGAAACCATCCCCGCCCATATAAGCAAAACGGTCCCCCAAAACCACAAAAAAGGGGACAGGGAGGGGCGGGGAGGATAACCGAGGGGACGGATCAAATTGCCATCCCTAATCTCAAGTAGTAAGCGAGGAAAAAATTCTCAAAAAAAACAACGAATGATCTAATGCTACGTTTGGTGTGCAGGAATGGAATGGAATGCAAGTGGGAATGGAATGAGAATGGGAATGGAATGGAATGGTCATTCTCATTCTATTGTTTGGTTATAAATATGACATGTATAGGATTGGAATGATAATAACCATTCTAGTGTTTGGTTGGACCAATTTAAAATTTAGAATGGAATAAATTTCTAATTGAATTTTTCAAAATATCCCTCTTAGTAACAAATAAATTAAATTAAATTAACAATAGTGGTGGTAGTGGAAAGCGGCGGCGGCAGCGGTAGTGGTGGCAGTGGCGGTGGTGGAAGGAGGTGGTGGGGGTGAAAGGTAGAGACGGTAGCAATGGCGGTGGTGGAAGTTGGTGGTGGTGGTAATGATGGAAGATGGTAGAAGGTGATGGTGGAAGGCGATGACAGCAGCGTTGGTGGTTGTGGAAGGCGGCGGTGGCGGTGGTGGTGATAGGTGGTGGTGGCGGTGGTGGAAGGCGGCGATGGTGGTGTATGGCTGTGGCAGTGACGGTGGTGGAAGGTGGTGGTGGTGGTGAAAGGCGATAGCAGTGGTGGTGGTAGAAGGTGGTGGCAGTGGTGAAAGGCGATGGCGATGGCGACGGTGGTGGTGGAAGGTGGTGAAAGGCAATGACAGTGGTGTTGGTGGAAGGTGGTGGTGGTGGTGGTGGTGGCGGTAGCGGTGGTGAAAGGTGGTGGCGGTGGAAAGTGGTAGGCGATAGTGAAAGTCGGTGATGGTGGAAGGCAGTGGTAGTGGTGGTGGTGGTGAAAGGCGGAGATGATTGTGGTGGAAGTTAATGGTGGTTTTTGGACTTGGAATATGAGGGTATTTTGGAAAGTCGATTTTTTAAAATAAATTACTTGGGAATGGAATGGCCATTCCATAGATTTAGTTGTGGAATGGATTTTTTTATTCCCAGGAATGGATTTTCATTCCAATGGAATGGCCATTCCCACTTTAAGTTGCATGCCAAACAAATGAATGGTTGGAATGGGTATTCCATTCCATTCCATTCATGCACACCAAACGTAGCATAAGTATAAGAATCAATTTAGGTCAAGTTAAAATTGGTATACATTTCTTACCTAATTTATCACAATTGAATGCACATTTAATGAAATTTTATTTGTTAAATCTAATTCAAAGTCATTACAGTAACAACAATGACAACAAAAAATTAGTAAAATCGTATAATAATCCATTTAATATTCAACGTTCACACACACACAAGGTTTTACTATACACACACACACACACACAAGGTTTTACCTTTAATCAGAGATCTTTGAGCGGAGAATATAAGATGAATCAAATGACTTGAATTATATGTAGAGAGACCCTAAATCTAAGGACAAATTTGAGGATTTGAACTACAAAATATCAATTTCTAAGGGTCGTGACACTTGGTTTTCGAGTTCGCTCGACACATTGTTATCTTGAGCAATAATGAAAGCAAAATGAATCGAGCATATCGCCTATCAATATATAAATGTATAAAAGGGAGGATGAGGACACAGAATTTCCAGACAAGCATCTTTAGAGTATGATGGTATATAGGAAATTTTGTATTCTAGTTGATGACATCAACAAATGCGTCAAAACTTAAACTCACTCGAAAAAATCTTTAGTTGAATAACTTAGATTTAGAGAATGAATATAATATAAGGCTACAAAAGAAAGAAAAAAATCTCATTGTGCACAAAATCTCATTGTGCATTTTGTGTGCGTGTAAATCGATTTAAATTGGGAGGTTATATTTACTTTAGTAAACATAAACTATTTTTTATTAGAATCCAACTCTAATGATTGGGCAAGTTTGTGAGGCTAACTTGAAATATGTAGGAACAAATAAATAATAATTTTTAAAAAATACAATTACGTAAAATTATAAAAATAAGGTGCAATAAAAAAAAATTATAGGACTATCTCCGATATTCAACTAAACCATATTTAATTATATGTGTGACCATAAAGTGGCACCCTTTATCAATCCATGTACGCATCTCCATCCAATCATATATCAATAATAAAATTTAAATTGAGAAATTAGATTATAAGAAGCAAAATATAATCTCTTACTTGAAATAATTAAAAGAACTTTCCCTTTGAAAAATACAATATATAATGAAAACTTTGAATATAGAAAGCATCAATTGAAAATATTACCAATTTGGTATTCCTAATTTCTTGTCTCGCTGAAACCTCACTGAAGTTTGGGTTTGTTCTCCAAAATTTTCGTGTCTCGTCAGAACTTCAGCAGATTCTAGACTTAATCGCCGAAAACTTCGTCGGATTGCAGATTTGATCACCGAAAACCTTGTCTTTTCCACCCTCTTTCTCACTTTCTTAAACTTAGTTTCAACTCTTTGCACATTTAGAATGGGCTCACTTCAAGCCCTTTTATAGTGCATGTGTGGTTATTTAACCAAAGACACCTATAATGGGCCACCTCAAGACCTTTTAGTATACCAAATGACCATTTCAATAAATTTTTGTTAGACAAAATTACCCTTACGGTTGTCTCAACCATATGACAATTAAGGCGGGTGCATAAGTCCCCAATAGAAGAAGAGCTCTATATAGGTGATCTCATTAATTACTTATATATTTCTTTAATACATTAATTATATTTT